ACACTTGCAGGTGGAAGATCAAACCAGTAAGGCGCTGCTAAAAAATGAAGAAAATTAAAAAAACTAGTCCAAAAAAACCATTTAATTTAATATCAAAAGTTCTGTCAATCGAAGCATGCCTTTCAAATTTACAATCATATCTTCCAATATGTTGAGCAGTAACGTTGAAAACTAAAGTTTTTCCAAAATTTTCAAAAGAAAAGCCTCTAGTGTTGTCTGAAGTGATTTCTATTCCATTATGATACCAAATTGGTGTTGGGTTTGGACTGGAATTTAAAAGAAAAATTTTTTTGAATTTATAATTTGAGGTAAATATGTAAATGTTTTGAAAATCCTTTCTTATCTTTACAAGGAAAAAATTATTAGAAAAAAATTTTCTACAGCGGATACTTGCAAAAATATTAATTACTGAATACTTTGATTTTTTTATTAATCCTTAAAAATAAAAAAACGTAAGAAACTCTTTTTCTCTTTTATTTATTTACCAACCCAACTAAATTAATTTTTATTTGTGGTTCAAAATATTTTATTTTTGCTGCAAATGATTTGAGCCAATTAAATTTTATAAAAGGTAAAAATTAGTTATAGTTCAATGATTTTAACTATATTTATTTTTAAATGTTTTCGGTAAATTAATTTTTTTTGTAATATTTATTTAATCAAATTATTTTTATAAAAATTAATTAAAAAAACTTACAATCCAGAGAAAAAACAATGAAGTTTGTGAATATGACCAAGTAATGCAATTGGTGAAGATTGATTGACCCATTGTTGTTCTGGAGGCATATTGCGCACTTTAAACGACAAAAAATATTAATTGAAAAATTTAAAGAATGTAAATTACATTTTTCTGTTGCATGTCTTTTTTTGACATTAAAATTGAATTGATTGTTGCTGAACTAAAAAAAATAAAAATCCTGTATTTTAGTGTTGAAGTTTATCTAATAAATATATTTTTTATGAATTTTGCCAATAATGACATTTTCAAAGCTCCTTAAAATTTAATTTTCTAACAGAGTTCGACCATCAAAAATTAAAAAAATCATTTAGAATGATCAAAGTCGAAAAATTAGCTCTTAAGAATTATTTAAACCCCCCCCCCCCCTTAAAATCCAACTAAAAAATCGTCTTTTTCAAACCTTGTATTCCTTCAATTCCTGATTATAAGCAGCACACGTGTATAAAGCATTGTCCTTGAAATCACTTTCTTGCACATAATGAAAGAAAATTGTACCCTAAAATATTACCAACCTTATTATTGTTGCCAAAAAGAAGTTGACTAGGAAGAATTGAGATTAATAGGAAAAAGTGAGCAAAATGAAAGAATTGTGGCAGAAATGAAGAAATAATAAATAAAGAATATTTTTTTACTCTTTTTTTAGAGTATAAAAGGGGAAGTATTTTCATTTATTTTTTTATTTTTACAACAAAACTAGTTCTCTAGAAAATCTATAAAATTTCAAAAAAAAATTTTTTTAATTTTAAAATTATTGAAAAAATAATTTTTTTTTGTTTTCAAAGTCTGCGCGGACTTATTCCTCCATCAAAAGCCACGCATGCAACACAGAGGATAAAATTAGGAAATTTTTTTAGTTGGTGGGCGGTCGATGGTCGCAGTACAGGTCGTTTAAGTAAATTCGTGAGGAGGTTAGGGGTAATTGACTTTCAAAAAAAAAGTAAATGTAAATGCGCGGAAATTAGTCTTGGGGAAAGAGTCATAAAGGGGAAAATTGTAAAAAAATATTTTTTAAATTTAAGAGGGAAATAAAGAGAAGGATGGATAAATCGATTTTTAAAAATCAAAGGGCGGATAAAAAAATAAAAAATAAATTGCCAAATTTTTTTATTAAAAATTTTTTTAGAAAAAATGGTCCCCATTCATTCCAGAATTTTCAAAAAATTAAAAAATAAGTCCATTAAAAAGTCCCCAAAATGGAAAATATTTCAAAATATTTTGGAAGAAATAAAAATTAAATAGGAAAAAGATGGAACAAAAAAATCAGTTAAATTTTTTAAAAATTTTAAAACGATAAATGAGAGTTTTTATAAAACACTAAACAATGTTTTGTGCTCGGGTCTTATTTTATTTTTTTTCGCAGCCACCGCCCTTTTTCGTTTTTTTCAAAAATTGTTCAATAGTGAAAAAAAGCAGATAGAGGAGAGGACAAAATGAGGTAAGAAGGGGATGTAAAGAACTCAAAGGAGCGTGAGTTATGTGTAATAGAAGGAAATGTGTTGGACATAAAAATATGGCTGGCAATAAATAAAAACGGTTAAAAGAAAGATGAAATATTAAATAAAGAGAGGTCTTTTTTAATTTTAATAATACAGAAAGGTTAAGAGTGATTGAAAAGAAACCCCGTTAAAATCTGTTAGTCATCTAATAAATTTGTATCAAGAAAATAAGCTTGAGTGTTTACGGGAAGTATAATTACAGCAGCGGTAGTTAAACAGTAAAAAGGCTTCCATTTCCACTAGAACAAAGTAGAAAATAAAAGAAATTATCGGCATAACAATTTTAAAAATATGCCAAGAAAATAAAAACTAGCAATTGAGAACCCCCCCCCCCCCCTTCCTTCTAATTGTCTCTCTAACCAGCCATCAACTAAACAAGCATACATCAAAAGCTGGTTACTCAATCGCAGCAAAATGGCAAAAATATATCCATTTTCTTTTTTAAAAGCTAGACAAAGAGTTTAGCCCTTTCGGCGCACTTTTCTCGCTTTTCCTTCTATTTTCAGCTTCTTCTCGTTAGTCTCCCTTTCCCCCTTTTGCTAAACAGCAGTTGCACAAACCTTTGCGTGAGGATAGTGGAAAAAAAATTTTTTTTGAAGAGGAGGGAAGAAGAGAGACTAAAAATGAGGACTTGAGAGAGAAACAAAAGAAGAAGATAAAAATATAAAAACGTTACACATTGATGGTCGAGAAAAAGAGGAAGCCTTTTTATTATTGAATGTCCAATGCTTTTTGCTAAAAATAAAAAGAGATATTGTGCTACTTGCAGTGAAGAAAAAAAGTATATTGAATTCCCAAGTGGCGAGAACGGTCTCTCTCTTTTTTGTTTAGAAAGATGCTTTGATGATGCAAAGAGACAGATGCAAAAATTGAGGAAAAAGAAGAGGGCGAGACTTAAGGGACAACCAAAAAAAATAAATTTTTACGAATTGAAAAGCAAAATTTAAAGTCAGAAAAAAATCAGGAAGGAAGCCCCCTTTTTATGTAGTTGACAAAAAAGAATTTAAAAAAGAGGCTAAATGACTTTGACCAAAAGGAAGAATAAAAAAAGAGAAAGTTTATACAAACGAAGCGAGAAGAGAAGCTTCTTCTTCGTTAGAAGAATTTATATATTTTTTTAGTAAGAAGGAAAAAATTATTTTTTTGTCATCCAAAAATGGATAAAAAGAAAACAAAAAAATTTTTTAAGAAAATAAATAAAGACTGAAGGGTGTAAAAATTGATAAAAATAAAATATTGCTTCCACTTGACTTTATGAGTCCAATAAAAAATATAATTGGATTTTTGTTGGTATTTCAAAGTAGGGGTATGGTTCCAATTTTTTCCTGTTAGGGACCTACGCCCACTGTGTCTAGGACCATTGCTTGCCCCATCCCTCGCAGTTTATGAAAGTTATAGCCAATTTTAAAAAATTTCAGAAAAACGATTTTAACTTTCAGAAATTTTTTATTTAATGTAAAATGGCCAGTTTTACATTAATTAATAATTAATAAGATAGGGCAAAATAATTAATTAAAAATTTAATAGAGAAAATAAATAGGTAAAACAAATAAAATATTAATTTATTTTTATGGCTTGTTTAATAAGAAATATTTTCTAAAAAAATTCAAGAATCGCAAGAAAATAAATAAATTATTTTTATCGAAAAAAAGCTTCAAAAACACCGCTTTTCATAATTAAAAAGGCGGTTAAAAATAAAAAAGATAAAAAAATATTTTTTATTATTTAACCAGATGTATTTTTTATGGTTAAATTTACGAGGTGATTTTTATTTATTTTTACTATTTAATTGGGTAGTTTTTAGAGTATATAAATAGTTTAGTTATCAAAAAAAATATTTTGGAGGGAAACTAAATTTCTCTTGCTTATCTCTATTAAACAAAATTTTTTTTTGAAATTTTAAGAGGCTTTTTAAGTGAAATAGAGAGTAATAGATAATTTTTCTTTAAAGATTAGAATTAATTGAAAGAAAACGAAAAGGCAAAAATGAGGATAAATGGTGAATTAACACTAAATAGAAAAAATAGTCGAGATTGACATGAGTAGAGAGAATGGAAGAGATATTGTTCCCAAAATGTTACAAAATCCTTTCTATAAATCTTAAAATTTTTTGAAGGTAAAAAAGAAAAAAAAATATTCGAAAAACAAGAAAAAAAGGAAGAAAAAGATAAATATTTTTATGGATTTAGAGTTGGTAAAACTTCAAAAGAAATTTAGACAAACCCCAAACAGTCAGAAAGTTTTTGCCAAGAAAATATTTTGGATTAAGATGATTTTTTGATAAATTAAGAGATATAAAGAATATTTTGAATTTATTTAAAAAAATTTCCACAAACCTTTTCACTCGACGAAATATGGGAAGAATTAATTGCACTTATGTGTTTAACATTGTCAGGAGAACGTAAAATCCAAAAAATCATTGCTGGAGGATTTGAATCGGGGGGAGTACAATCTCGAGCATATGGTCTACTCAAAGGTATTTCAACTACATTAGGTCCTTCAAAATCAGGAAATGGATTAATCCCTTAAAAATTAAATATATATTCTTGTCAAATTTAATAATTATTTTAATAAAAAAAATTTAGTGTTTAATCGTTTTGAAGTTATTCACGTTAAAAACAAATTCAAAAAAATTTTTTAAGGAAAGAGAAAATAATTTCAGGAGGGTTGTCAGATCCTGGAAAATTTAAGGATATCAGGAACCAAAGAATCCAAAAATTCCAAATTATTCGGTTTCGAACCGATAACTCTAATCGATTTTTTAAAAACATGTTAATACCTTTATACTAATTTTACTTCTAGAAATTAATACAGTCCTCCAAACTGAAAAGACCAACAATAAGATACCCACCCTAATTCCCACATTAATGAATTTTAAAAATCTTTAAAGGATGCCAAAAGTTAATTTTAATTTTTTAAACAAAAGAAGTTTAATTCTTTAAAATATCCAAAAAACCTACAGGCCAACAAAAGTTTAATTTTCTCAGAATAAGCAGTTCCATTATCATTACTAGCCAAACATTGATATTCCCCCTCATCAGATTCAAAAAATTTTGTAAAAATTAAAGATCCATTATCAGAATTTGTAATTATTCTATCTCTGTAAACATTGACAGGAAATGTTGAATTATCCTTTAGCCATCTATATCTACAAATTTTTTAAAAATTATTTAATTTTAATCCCAATCAATAAATTAAAAATTAAATTTCCTTAAAAAATAATTATTTAAAAATTTTTGAAAAATATCTCTTCAAATAATTTTAACTAAGAGGTTGTGTAACTAACATAAGTGGGAAAATGGGAGATAGAATAATTACAAATAAAACATTTCTCTAAAAATTTTCTTTTGATAAAAACAAAATTATTTTACCCCGTTGGGATTCGAACTCAGGACACAAACATCAAAGAAACAAACATTTTCCCACTTAACTACACAACCTCCGTAAAAAATTTTTTCTTTAAATTTTTACTCCACAAAGAAAATAAATCCCCAAATATGTACCAATTAGCCCAACAATTTTAATGAAAATTAACAAAAAATTAACTTACTCGGGCCGTGGAATTCCAATAGCAACACATCTAAAAACTTTTGGTTTCAAAAAATGTTGTAAATGATTAATTCCATTTTGGTGTTCATCCCTCTCATGCCGCCCATTTCCATTAGGCCCTTTATAGTCTTGAAGAGAAAAATAAGTAATTGGGTCATTCCGTTCGTGAATAAATCTTGGAGGTGTTGGAACATTAGCCCAATCAATTTGTGAAATTGGCGAGGAATTTGAGCTTGAAAATAATTCGGCAACTAAAAAAAGAGGAATTTTTAAAAAAATTTTCCTTTAAAAGAAATTTACAAGTAAAATATATTTTGAGGTAGAACAGAACACAACAAATTAATTTGGAGATCATTTTGGTGATTTTTTTTATAAAAATATTTTTATATCACCTTAAATTTACATTTAATCTAAAAATAAAAAAATATATTTAAATAAAAATTTATGGAAATTAAAAAAAAGATTGGGAAAAATGTGTAAAATGACAGGTAAAATTAAAAGTAAAAGTGGCTAAAAAATATTTCAAAAAAAATCTAAAAATAAATTTAAATAATGAAAAAATTAATTTAGAGAGTAAACAAATTTTTGGAATTTTTAAGGAATTCTTAAAATTTTTTCTAAATTAAATATCTGACTCAAAAATTATTAGGTATTTATTTATTTTAAATTACTAAATTTATCATTTACAAAAAATTTAGCAGGAAAAAAAAAGTAAAAGTGGCTAGAAAATATTTGTGAAATTGGAAAGAATTAATGACTATAACTTTTTCAAAAATTGATCAATTTCGATATTCTTATTTTTAAAATAAACCTATTTTCAAGCGCAATTTTTTGAAATTAAAAAAGCCTTTTAAATTCATTTCAGAAAAAGATGTGCCCAAAATCCTCAAAATTTTTAGTTCGTCGTATAACTCTTTGTCAGACAAATCATCAACAAAATTTAAATCTCCACAAATTTTTCTAATAAAAAAATTGTGACAAATATTTCAACATCCCCCCCCCCTTTTCTTTTTAAAAAAACTTACAGGAAAAGGAAACAAGGAAATAGAGGAAAATAGTTCTTTTCTTAACAACGCTCTGCTAAAAAGGATATATAACAACACCAAAAAAAACCAGAAAAATATCGAAAGGTTTTTCAGTCAAAAACCCTTCCCCTCAATGTGTTCTTTTGGTTCTTGCAAGAAAAAAATTTTATAGAGAAAGAAAAAAAATAGCCAGAGATGGAAAATTGGCGGAAATGAGCAACGCTTGAAGGGGTATATATAAATATATAAGAAGGACCACGCCAAGCAAAAAAACATTAAAAAGGGCCATGGAAAGTGGAGGGGGGTTAGTATATTTTTTAAGAAAATGAAGATGCTGAAAAAAAATGTGATGCATGTAAATAATAGAGGTATAGAGAATTTAATTCGAGAAGAAAATACTAAAGCCTTTTTTTTACTATTCTTGAAAATGGGTTTTTTAATTAAAAAAACAAATGGATTGGTTGAATTGGTTGAGGATATTCTCTAAATTTTTGAAGTTAAAAATAGGGAAATGTTAGTGTACAGTGTCGGACCGAGTACGACTAGATTTTTCCAAAAGTTCGGATCACAAGTCCGGGTTTATTCTTAACTAGATTAATCTGCAAAATCGGGATACCCCAGGTAGGCGCGCGGCCATAACCATAACTAGCTGGAAAATTTCTGGTCCTTATCAATTCTGGTTCCAATCTCTTTAGCTCAATGAGAAGAATCGTTTAATACTAAATTTGGTAAAATTCGGAAATCATGAAGCAAGTTATGGCCGCGCGCCTACGTGTCCGGACAAAATACCGAATCGTTAAAATATGGAATAGGCTAAAAAAGGGTTAAAATCTCGAATCGGGTAAAAATGGGTTAAAATCGCGAATAGGCTAAAAAGGGGTTAAAATATGGAATCGTTAAAATATGGAATGGTTAAAATCTCGAATAGGGTAAAAAGGGGTCAAAATGTGGAATCGTTAAAATATAGAATTGATAAATGTCGACACGGCCAAAATAGGTCAAAATGTCGAATTTTTTAAAAATGGCGCCAAAACCTAGAATCCGGGCGTTGCCGTAATACCGACGGTATTTTTAGGTATTCCGCTTCGCTAGTACGGTGCGGAATGCCGACCGATAAAATTTAAAAGCTGATCGGTATTTTTCGGTATTCTGTACCGTATACGGTACAGTTAAAAAATTCCGGGTTTTATTAGAAGCTAGGCACTCCACTCTAATTTGACGTATCAAGATCGCGTTATGTTTTCCGTATCCGCACGATCATTCCGGACCGGATCAGGTCGATTATGCTTGATTTATCCGGTCCGGTTTTACTCGGTAAAATACAGTGAACTCAGGCCGAAAAGATTGCGACGGACTACGACATACGAAACTTATCAATCAAATTATCAACAATAGGTTGATAAGCTGATAAAATTATCAATAATCAACGTACGGCACTCATCTGACCCTTTTTAAAAGAATTCGACATTTTGACCTTTTTTTAGCCTATTCGAGATTTTAAACATTCCATATTTTTACGATTCCATATTTTAACCCTTTTTTACCCGATTCGATATTTTAACCATTCCATATTTTAACGATTCGGTATTTTAACCCCTTTTTAGCCTATTCGCGATTTTAACGATTCCATATTTTAACGATTCCATATTTTGTACCGGAGCCCGCGCCTACTTTGGTTGTACCCCCACAAAATTCTTTGGGATCCGGTCCGGCAAAGGGATACAAAAATTACTATATATAGTCAAGAAAATTAAAGATAAAAACAACAAAACACAAAAGATCAATAAATAAACAAATAGGTCAAAAGCACCCCCCAAACTCAACAAAAATATTCTAAACAAACAAAAGTCAACATCGAGACTAAAACACACACAAAAAAAGAACAAATTAAATAAAACCCAAAAGATCACCAATAAAAAAGACAAAAAGGAAATCGAAAAATAATTTTTAGCATTATGTCACAATAAAAATAACGCCAAAAAAGCTACCTAATTTATTTTTAAAATTAAAGAAAGTCTTTAAATTATTTTTTGATTATTTTCTGTTAAAATTATCTAATAAATTCTGTGTAAATTGACATAATAAAATAAAAAATATATATTGACTTGGAAAGTACTTACCGTATTTCCTATATTAGAGCCCCACCCTCTGTTAGAGCCCCACCCTCTAATACAGCCCCACTTTGGAGGATAGTTGAAAAATAGAGCCCCACCCTCAATTAGAGCCCCACCCCAAATACAGCCCAACGTAAAAAATATTGGAGGAAAAAATATCAGAATAACTTTTAAGATGTATGTATTAAGAGAGTTAAGGAAATAAAGGGGGATATCTATGATTTCGTGATCATTGAGGAGGAGGGATCATGGGGATTAGGGATGAAAATGAGGGATTAATCCCGTTATCCGTCAAAATACTCTAATATCGCCTATATTCCTCTAAATTCCTCCTATTACCTCCAAAATCTAATCATTTTATAAAGGGTTGCAATCGTGTTAGGCACTTGATGATAATTCGCGAGATTATTAGAGATCTATTAGATATCTAATCAGTGATATCTAACCAAAATTTCTCTGGAACCGATTTCAGTTACGTAACTGCTATTTGAATTTCTTCAGTTCCAGTTCTGGAACCTGTTCCAAAGCTTTATCAAACAAATCCCTTCATATGCCTCCTAATACCCCTAGTCCAGAATATCCCTCATAATCCCTCTAAATCTCTCAATATAAACTTAATCCTCTGATATTCCCCATAATCCCTTAAAATCCATTTTTATCCCTCTAATCCATCAATGTCAAATAAAAGTCCCATAATATTTCCTTTAATCCGTCCAAATCTACCGATATTTAATAGATAATCTTACTCTCATTGAACTATTGGGACTATTTTGTAATTCATTGCTTAAAAAGTTTTGGTTTTTCTTGAAAAATCGAAAAATATAGATTCTCTTTCGATATTTTGCGGCTTTATCGACCAAACCCTCCGACTTATCTCTAGTTGCAATGGATACAATAAATGGGATTCTATCTCAAAAGAGGGTTGAAAAATAGAGCCCCACCCTCAATTAGAGCCCCACCCTTTAATACAGCCCCACCTTGGAGGATAGTTGAAAATTAGAGCCCCATGGGGCTCTAATATAGGAAATACGGTAATTGGTTAGAGTGCAATAAAAATAAAAAAAAATTTTTTTAGGTGATTCGCATGACGAGAAAATAATATTATCGTAAAAATATAGTTATTGTGCTAGTTGTTGAAAAAAAAAATAATTATTTTTTTTTTGGATTTTTTTGGCTGAAAAAAGAGGGTTATCTCTTATCTAAAATCTCAACCTTTTCTACAAAAAAAAAGTAATTTTCTCTTCTCAGAAAATAAAAATAACTTTTAGAAACTTGGCTGTAATTTTTGTATTAAAAAATTTAAATAACAAAAAAAGTCTGGAAATTTGTTATAAAAACCAAAGAAAAAATTTAAATAAATGTTAAAATTGGGGATACCTAAAATATCAAAAACAAATCAACCATATATTAGATCAGAATTTATTAATATTTTAAATAAAAGCATTTTTAGAAATACGATCTTTTGGAATAGTTAAAATAGATTGATATTTGCATTTAATGTAAAGAAGTGAGCAATTTGTAGAGCTAAATAACATTTACAAGTATTTTGTGATTAAGAAAATATATATGTAGGTGAATAATTGGAAAAAATATATAAAATAAAATTATTGTTTTGGGCTCTAACACAAATGATCGAAGCCTTGTGGAGGAAAATTAAATAAATATAAAGAAATTTAGAGAGCTAAAAGTAATTTAAAAGTAAATTTTAATCAGAATTTTAATTTTAAAATATCTCTCTCAAAACATGGCAAAATTACCAAATTATTATTTTAAAAATAAAAATTCTCAAACAAAAAATTTAAATACATATTAATTAAAAAAATTATTTTAAAGAAAAATAACTGAAAATTAAAAATACAACATTCTAGCAACATTTTACACAAAATTACAAACATAGATAGAAAAGAATTTAATTATAACACTAATGACGTTAATTGTTTTTTAAATATTTTTAAAGGAATGTTAAAAATAAATTAAATTTATATATTAAGGTATTTTTAATTAGGTAGAGGAACCGGTTTTTCTTTTAAATTTTTCTGATTTTTTTAGGTTTAAATAATTAGAATTTCAACCAAAAATATTATTGAACTTATTTAATAATCCAAGACGATATTTAAAGAAAATGAAGGATTTGGGTGATAGAAATTAGAGATCGGACTAGGAGGGTCGTAAAGAGAATTCGAGATTTTAGTGGAGATCTCATCTCGTTCCGATCTCTAGTAGAATAGCCCTAACTAAATTAAAAACCGATAATAAAATTAAAGAGTCGATTAACCACTGAAGTAGCGTTGAAGCTCGGATATCCAGAAATTTTCGGATCGGATTTCGGATATCTGGAGATTCCCCAGGATATCCGGAGATTTTCCAGGATCTGCCAACTTTACACTAAAGGGATTAAAAAATTCTCTTCCTTACACAATTAAAAAAAAAATAAACTAAATAAACTTTTAGAAAAATTAAAAGTGTGACAATTAAAATTAATTTTATTTATTATTAGAAGGAAAAGGGGGACGGCGATCAATGTCGCCAAATGAAGAAATAATTTTTATTCTGTGGTTGGAGGTCAGAGATTTATTTTTAAGGAGAAGATGGGCATAGAAGATAAATTGGGAAGATTTTCTTTTTATTTATTTTTATTGCCCACACAATGACAAGTGTTTTTAGTTTTTTACAAAGGAAAAATTTTTTTTATAAAATTTGAAAAAAAAAGAATTGGGAAATTTGTTCAAAAGTGTGAAAATTAAAAAATGAAAGAAAAAAAAACTTTTTTTTATAGAAACGAATAAATTGTAAAAAAGGAAGGAGGGGGAGGGGGGCATGAAATTAATTTTGTATTTTTCCTAAAAATATTTTTGGAGGAGTCCACCCCAGAGTATCGACACCCAAAGTATCGACACCCAAAGTATCGAATGACCCAAAGTATCGCACCCAAAGTATCGACACCCAAAGTATCGAATGACCCAAAGTATCGACACCCAAAGTATCGCATGACCCAAAGTATCGAATTTTTTAAACTTCATAATTATGTATTCCAAGGACGGGGAAGTCTTTTTAACATAGGGAAATTGTTCCAACAATGGATCAAACATCGATCATGATCAATATGTCCAATCAAAGAAGAGTGATCGATCTCCAAGTAGAATCTTGTTCGGTCGCTATGCTCAGCAGGGGTGGGCGCAAGAGGCAATCGTGAAAAACGCAAAACGCAACGCAAGGCCAAAAATCAACGCAAAACGCAAAAAACGCAAAACGCAAAACGCAAGAACGCAAAATTCTGAAAAAAAATTTTAAATCGAGTATTAGCCATTTTTCAGTTCAAATAGAAGTATTACTATAAGTCAGCGAGTCCTAGTTGATCTTGTGATACAATTAAGTTGGATGGGTAATGATTTGAAGGGGATACAATGGGATTATGAAGGATATTAGAGGATTTAGAGCGATTATGAAGGAGGGATCGAGGAAAATTGGAGGGATCAAGGAAATTTAAAAAGATACCATGCGATTACTGATGAATGTCGGATGGGTTGGGGAGTAGCGGAGGATAAATGCCTATCTGTAATTCTCAATTGATACCGTGAATATCAGGGGATTTGGAGGGATAAAGGGAGATCGGAGCTCAAGATATTGAACTGATATTTTTCTGAGCAGTTCCATGATCTACTTTTAGCGCCGCAGGCGAAAATTTTGAAAAATTTGGGACCAAGAAGCCAAATTTCTTCCTTTTTTAAGCGCCGCAGGCGAAAATTTTGAGAATTTTGGAAAGTCATAAGCCTGATTTCCTCAAGATTTTGCCCTCAGATTGGGTATATTTCTTGCGGTTTTTTGCGTTAATTTTGGCCAAATTTACGCAAAACGCAACGCAAGACCAAAAATCAACGCAAAACGCAAAAAACGCAAAACGCAATGCGCCCACCCCTGATGCTCAGTTCGATCGAAAACACAATTCCCCCTGGGTGTCGATACTTTGGGTGTCGATACTCTGGGGTGATCCCTTTTTGGAGTTAGGAAACGCGTGATTGGCCGTAACTTGTTTTTATGAAATTTTGTCTTTCAAGTTTGATTTCAAAATAGAAAAAATATCTAAGACCACATATCAAATTCAATAGGTATAATCATAACCTCCGAATTGCCGCCCAAACGAAGTGGACAAAAACCAACAGTTTTTAATCAAAAAGTATCGGGGTTTTTTAAAATTGTTTATCTATCTCCTAAAGTATTTGATGCTACAAGATCAAAAAATAATTTATTTAAGAAAGTTGTGAATAAAATTAACTGATAAATGAAAAAAAGGGTAAAACCTGAAATAAATTATAGGAAAATAAAATTTAGTGAAGCCATTCAAATAAAAATTAAAATATCATCTAAACTTTAAGGTAAAAATTACGGTTGGACACAATCGGTTTTAAAACAGGTACCCTCGGTTTCGGTTAATCCAGAGTCAAAGATCCCCAGTTTTAGCTTAATGCCGGTTCTATTTTGGGGGAATTTTTAAATAACTACTCATTTGAAAAAATTTTTGCTTTTAAAACCCCGGTCGTAACCTACCCTAGTAAAATCAATAAATCGAAAAATAGGAAAAAACAAAAATTCTTCTATACAATCAATGCCAAAAATGTCTTTTCTACATAAATAAGAAAATAAAGGGTTGGGGGTTTGTTCACAATTTTATCCGTTGACTGTCCTCTTCGGACGGTTCAAAAATAATTGAGAGAATGAATAAAATGAAAATGAGCAAAGGAAGGGAAAGGTTATTTGTCGTTGTTTTTGAGAGAAAGGCTGAAAAAACAAAAAAAATAAAAGAAAATTAATGTTTTGAAGGGAGGAGATATGGAGAGATAGATAGGTTCATTTTCAAGGTCAGAGAATGAACAAATAGGGAAGATATCCGGATCTAAAATAAATTGTCTAAAATAATAAGAAAATATAAAAAATTAGAAAAAAATGTTAAAAAGTTTTTTAAAAAATTTATTTGAAAATATGCATGGGTTTATCAGTTCTTGGAAAATATTCGGATATATGGAACCGAACCGAAAAACTGAACGAAAATCTTCGGATATCCGAAACCGCTCCGATATCTGAACCGAAAAATCATTGGTTCGTTGGTTCGGTTCGGTCTAGAACCGACAACCCTATGCATAAATTAAATAAAAGAATCAAAAATAATACATATTTAATTGAAGGTGTTCATTTTAAATAATTATTTATTTTGCTTTAACTATCCTTTCCTTCATTTTATTTTACTAATTTAAAAAATTGAATTCGTTAATCTTTTTTAAAAATTTAGTAAAATAACCAAAATTATTTTGATGGTCAATAAATAAATAAATAAATGAAGTATCCACTATTTGGCCACACACACATCTTCCTTCTTCTTCCCCTTTTAAATTTATTCTTTTTATATTCTTCTCTTTAATTTTCTAATTATAATTGAATACATTTCTTTTATTTTCTTTAAAATTTTTCTTTTTTCCTTTCAAAAAATTTTTTCTAAAAATTGCCAAACAATTTTTATTTTTATAACATCTGTCCCTCTCTCTTCCCCCTTTTTTCTTCTTTTTTTCTTCCTCTTCTTGCGCATATAATTGTTATCGCTCCTTTTTATTTTCAAGAGCTTTTGCCAATCCTCTTCCTCCTTCCCTTCCACTCTTGAAGACCTCACAAATATCTCCCGTCCCTTCTAGGAGTCTATCGACCAAGAAAGGAAGAGTGAAAGGTCCTTCCTTCCTTTTCTTCTTATTTTTATAGACAAATAATTGAGATAAATAAAGTAGCAGTGTAATTATTGTAAAAATAAATTAAGTAAAAATTTTGAAAAATATTTTTGGAATTTTAAAATAAAGACGTATGTTTTACGAAATTTTTCATATATTCGGAAATTAGCCAAAAAGTTTTCTTAGTTAGTTTCTGAACCGTGAAATCCTTCATTTCTATCTACAAAAATACTTATGATTTATTTATATGTACAAAAAACATTGACCACCTAAACAAACTCAGATTAATTAATTTTTAAATGTCAATCGAAATATGTATAAAGTCCGTTCCAAATATAACCTCATCCACTTTTATTTTCGACATTAGGGTTGGTCCGAAAAATCTACAAAAATTTTTGTACGGAAGTATCTGAATTTCTAGCTAAAAAATTCTAAAATTTATGGAGAATATAGGATATGAGAACATTTGAACGTGTTCAAGAACTAATTTTAAGTCAAAACTTACAAAATTAAATAAAATAAAATTACAAAATAAAATTTCTTTTATTTCTACAACAATTAAATAAATTAATCTACTCCAATTCCAATTAGTAAACTTAAAATTAATTTTATATTCCTTCTAAATTTATTCACAAAACTTCATAAAAACAAAAATTACTTTTTTCTTTTGAATAAATTAACCCAAACTTTTATTTAAAAGGAAGATAATAATCTTCTTCTCTCTCATTCTTTCACTCTCTCTTTCCTTCTTCCTTTATCCGCTTAACCCCTCCCAAAATTCTTTTATTTTTAAACAAATAAAGATAAAAATTATTTATTTATTTACATAATTTATTTATTTTTGTATCTGTGAGAATTTTGTAAAAATAAAAAAAGAAATAAAGGCTTTTAACCGATTAGAAAATAAAAGGGCGCTAATGTTTAAAAAAAGAAAAAATTTTTTAAATGGACGGGATGGGAGAGATCTAAGGAATATGCAAATTTTGAGACAGAATTAAATAAATTTTGAACCTTTTTGGAAGAAAATAAAAAAAGGAAGGGAGGGAATGAACAAATAAAAAAGGAGAAAATGGAAAGGGATGTTTAGGTACAGGGAAAGTTTTTCTGTGAGAACATAAAATTAATAAAAATTTTGGGGGATCTGTGTCAAATGGGGAGGGGGGGGGGTTATCTTAGTCCTTCACAGTCAATATTGTGAGTGATCACTATATCTATTAATTACCCCCTCAGCGAAAGGTTAAAACAATAATTATCCAGGGTAATTATTTGAGCATACACGTTAAGTAGCTTTAGTGGTCTTCAATAATAAAACTAATCTAGAATTTTTCAATGGAATATTGCAGGTTTAATAAATTTATGCCACGAACGGTTGAAGGCTTTCAAAGTTTTAGAATTATTTTAATGTTTTAAAGGGTGTATAAATTTTTACAATAAACCTCAAATTTTTTATAGTATCTATAGAGCAGATTTTTTCTCTTAACTCATTTTTTACTTCCCCTACGTTTATTTTTTACAAAAAGGTATCCATCGAATAGGTAAATTTGAACCAATTTATCGAAGGAAAACAATTCGAAACAACAATTTATTTTTTACAAACAGATACAATACAAACGACAAAATACATACGATAGAAATACGATACATACGATAGAAAGAATATTTATAGGGGCATAACAAAGGAACACTATATAGACAATTTCATCTTTATATCTCGAGCTTCACCCTCAGAACTTCCGGGCACAGGATATCCCTAACGTCGAGCTTTTTTCTTATCCTCACTGCTGGCTCCGGGAAGCAATTCCTTCCCGACATTGTCTGGCTTCTCATATTCAATTTCAGTTTCGACCACAGCGAAAGTATTGATATACTTTTTCTGAAATATATAAATTATGTTGACATACAAAAAATATTATTTTTCACCTTCTTCCACTCCTCGAACTCCCCAACATTTTCATATCCCTTTTCAGCCAGTTCCGGCGAGTATTCGTTATCGTAGAGCTCTTTGTCCTTAAGCCGCACAATCTGGTCTACAATGAATTGCATCTTGCTTTTGTCGTCTTTTTCCTTCTCCGCTTTCCTCCACATTGCGGCGCCCAATTGTTCAATCGGATGACGATCCAGAAATTTCTTATTATGGTCCAGTTTTTGCTGAAAAAGTGGGAAAATAAGTTTGTTTAATATATATTTTTTTAAACTTACATCATCTTTCCATATTTCAAACGGCTTCATGTTCTCGCTGCCTTTGAGTTTTGCCTCAGCTTGGTAATCAGCATACCATTCTCTGTCTTTTGCACGTTTGGCTGCACGCGCCGCCCTTTTCTCAGAATTCACCTCCACCCAGTTCCATGTGAACCATGCCAGAATTCCAATGATGATTACACCCACAGCAATCACGATCACATAAAGCCATAGATTGGATTTTTCCGGGCATTTGCTTTCCGCTGGATACTTTGTCGATGGTGATGAGATGTTTTTGGCAGCAGTTGTAGTCATTAGAGCTGCCGATGTTGGACAAGGAGCAAATGTTGAGGTTTCAGGAGTTGTTTTTGTTCCCGTTGAAGTGACTTTAGTGGTAGTAGTAGTCGTTGTTGCCGGTTGTGGAGGGTTAACATACAGCAGATCGTAGTCCGGTCTGTTCTAAATTGAATAAAATTATAATATTTATAGTGAAAGGTAGTGTAAAACTTACAAATCGGACGAAGAGCTCACAGTAAGGCACGGACGGTTTTTCATCCGTAATTTCAGCCCCATCGAAAACAAAAGTTGCATTTCGTGAAAGCAGGCTGAAGACGAGAAGATGTTTTCCATGTAGTTCATGTAGTTCTTTGTTCATGATGCTCCATGCTTCTGGTTTGCGAATTTTACTTTTCTTAGCTAGACAAGCAGGCTGCCCTTTTGGATCAAATTCATGTCTTCCTGAGAAATGCATCGTGAACTTGTCCTCTGCCGTTATCTCCAAATCGAAGGTCATTTCGCTATCGTTGAGCTCCTTTTCTGGACTCAGGCCGCGCTTCGCTTCGCCAACTGCAATAAACATCAAAATTAAATATTAAGATTATTTATTTACTTAGATGGATGTGAGCATAAGCATATGTCCCAGATTTAGATCTGCTCCATGAAACTTCAAGCGATGTCCACGGCATGCATGCTTTGCATGATTTTTTACACGTCTTCTCGGAACCAGCATTTAGTCCTTTGTTGAGCTTCTCGATGACTTTGTTGTTCACACTGTAGACGAAGGGCATACTGTAAAATTAAAAATTGAAACAGAATTAACATGAAAGTTTAAAATTTACTTATTATTATAGCTATACTCCAGATGCAAACCTTCACCAAGGCATTTTTTGATCCCTCCTCGCTTGTTCCGCACTACAGCTGTTAACTTGATCTTGTCCTTGTTTGCCTTGTTTGTGCTGAGCAAATCGACGATGCATCCCTTGCCGTCCTCGTTGTACTTGAGCTCGCTGAAAAATAAAAGAATTTTATTACAAAATTTCTTACAAATAAGAAACAATGCAAACTCACATGTAGCCTTTCTCGATCTTGATATTACAGGCATCCCGAAAGCGATATTTGTATTCTGTCAAGCTGAAGTTCTTCTCTGTGACTTTGACAGTGTTCGGGTTGAGCTCCACTTGTTTGCCGGTCAATTTGTGATTGCCGAGTCCGACGATTTCCTCCTTCATCTGTCCAGGCACTTCACACACAAGGAATGTTGCGATGACGAGCAGCATCAGCACCAAGGAGCACAGCGTTGACGACTTCCTTGTCCCAGGGCCGGTGTCAAGTCCCGATGGAAGATGGCATCGGACGAACATGGAGTTTGCTGTTTTGAATGCAGACAATATTGATGTTTGTAGAGTTGTGATGAATGTTTGGTAGAGTTTGGGTGGATTTTAACTCCTTTTATAGTCTAACTTCTAACTAGAGACAGGACTGGGAGTGTAGTACGAGAATAAAGATCTTGAAAATTTCTCGATCTCGTTAAACGAGATTTTTGATCGAGATCTTGTCTCGGTCCGGTCTCTTACTTTTACTAGGGCGCGAAGTCGAGGCCCCGCCGAGGCCGAGGTCCTCGCCTATTTTCCAATCTCGTTCTCGGTTCGGCCGGTCCTCGGATACCCGAACATCACTAATATACAAGATTTTCACCAGGTTCTAAGTATGACCTAAAATAGGACAAATTTTTACCGATTTTTAAAAATTCATAACTTTGCCAAAAATGCTCATTGGCTTCTCAAAATTTACAGATTTGTTAAACAATTTTTGAACTACAAAAATACAAAAATGGAAAAAATAGGCTGGGATGGCCGAAATATAGGAGTAAACTAACAAATACCTAAGTCCCCTTATAAATGAGAGAAATTTCTCTCCATTTGACCATTTTTACTCTTCTTTTTTCTTTTCCAGCTGCTGACCCTTTCCCTTCTCTTGTCCTCACCGTTGCTTAATTTAACAAATTGGTAGTGATCTTCGAGACTTTCGGTCTCGGTTCCCGAATCGGGGAATTTCTCGGGTTTTTTGAGCTCTCGTACTCGGTGTTTTAGTCTTTGAAAACGAGACTAAATTTACACTCCTAATGACGGAAATTTTTTGAAGTGTCACGTATCTCTTGTACTTTATATTTAATTTTTTAAAAAGTCAAAGAAATAACTGTGTTAATTTCTTTAATTTTAACTTTTAATGATGGATAGTTGAGAGGCTAAGTTAACAGGCTTCGCTGACTTTATTTCAGTTTGAGGGTTCGAGTCCGGGGCTGGAAATTGAGTCTTGGCAAGTTTTTCTTTCCATAAATAAAAGTTTTTAAACTTTGATTCTGATTTTAAATTTAAAAATTAATTCATTAAATATTATTAAAATTGAAAAACTGTAAAATCTTAATTTTGACAGATATTTTCAAGAAATCTTCTTGAATAAAAAGGTTTCTCTCCCTTGAACAAAAAGGTCTCTTCCCGTTCTTTTTTCCTTAAAATCTGTTTAATTTTAATATTTTCAAAATCCAAGGATGAACTTATGTATCGTAATCTAGATGTGATTTACAATATACGAGATTTTCACCACAGTTATTTTTTGTTTTTAATTTTTCTGAAATATTTTTTGATTCAGCAAAATGTTTTTCTTGGTTAAACCTTTAGGGTTAAGCTTTGAAAGTTAACTCTCCTTCTTTTAAAAATTAGCAAATACAGTATTTCGTTTAATACTACTCCCGGGAGTAGTATTTTTCAATCCTTCTCCAAAGGGGAGTATTATTAAAGGGGAAAGTTCTAATTCAGGGGGGAGGGGGTTTTTTCTACAGGAAATACGGTGATTATTTATCCTACCTAGTACTCGGCAAAATTAAATTTAAAAAAATGGGAAAAGTTTGGAGTTTCATTCAAAATTTCATTTGATTAAAGCTACTTTTCTGGGTTTTAATTTTTACTAATCTACCTAATTAAAAATTTAAAAAAATTGAATTTTATTTTAAAAATAATTAGCAAATAATTATTTATTTTCTAGTCCAAATTCATCTAAAAATCTATTAATTTCACCAAAAATTGTTCGACTAAAAATCGAAGAAAATTCCCCTCCAAACAAACAACTAGCTTCGTTTGAAATATTAGATCCAGATTCCCATAAACATAATTGTTATTTAAATGGGCAATATGCAGATAAATTTACTCTTATTAATGAAAAACAAAAGAAAGGGGTAAGTTTAAATTATTTTATCTCCAACCAATATACTTTTAACTTTCAATTGAGATTGTTTAAATGTTTTAGATAAACAGAAAATTCCTTTCGGATTTAAAAAAGGGTAAACGATTTTCTGTTTTGGCTTTCTCATTTCTGAATTCCAAAACTCAAACTCAAATTACCGTATTTCCTAAAATAGTATTCCCAGTAGTACTATTTTTCAATCTCCTCTAAAGTAGAGTACTATCAAATGGGGAGTACTAATTCAGGTGGGAGTACTAGTTAACAAAAACACTCAACATTTATTCAGGGTAAATATTCCCCAAATTTTTCCCAACTAAAAAACAATTCAAAACAAAAATTTATCTTTTACAAAAAATACAATACAAACAACAAAATATATACTTATTACACACGATAGAAAGAATATATGGTTATAGGGAATAAGAACAATATAGATAGGAACAATAGGAACAATATTTCTATATAACAAAGGAACAATATATAGAATATTTCATATTTATCTCTCGAGCTTCACCTTATGAACTTCCGAGCACAGGATATCCCTTAATGTCAAACTCCTCCTCCTTCGGATTTTGGAACCGGAACGCCATCCATAATGTTTTCATCAGCCTTCACCTCCTCAACGTTCTCATCAGCCTTTGCCTCCTCCACGTTCTCGTCGGCCTTCACCTCCTCAACGTTCTCAACGATCACCTCCCCGTCCCGTGTGTGGTCAAATTCAATTGCAGTTGCCGTTCCATCGGTCACGGTGAACGCAGTAATGATGTTATTTCTCTGAAATATATAAATTATATGTTGGCACTGAGAAAATATCAAAAAATATTTTCACCTTTTTCCATCCCTCGAAAGTCCCAGCTCTTATACGTCCTCTTTTCTTTACTTCCTTGCTGAATTCGCGATCTCTCATCTCCATGTCAAAGTGCTTCGCGCACTGGTCTACAATGAACTGCATCTTTTCTTTGGGGGTTTTATTATCTGTCCTATTCCACATTGCAGCAGCCAATTTTTCATACGGAAGCTCGTTCAGTTCGTTATGTTTTCTCTGAAAATTTTGAAAATAGTTTAATATATTTTCATTTTTTTTAAACTTACATTCACTTTCCAAACGTCAAACGACCTCATGTTCTTTGGGCCTTTGACTTTTTCCTCAGCTTGGTACAGAGCATACAGTTCTTCCTCATGTTTGACTATGATCTTCTTCTCTTCAGAATTCCTCTTCCTCCAGAACCATGCCAAAACTCCGATGATGACTACACAAACAACAATAACGGCAATCAAAATATAAAGCCACCCCCTGGATTCTTCCGGGCACTTGCTTTCCGCAGGATCCGCTGACGATAGGATGGCCGCAGTAGTTGTCTTTAGTTCGTTGTTGCTGGACAGTTTCGATGTTGCTGGACAAGGAGCAGATGTTGCTGGACAAGGAGTACACAATGTTGGTGGACAAGTAGACGATTTTGTTGGACAAGGAGCACTCGTTGAAGTTTCCAGAATTTTTCCTGAACCCGCTGGACAGTTATTTGTAGCCGTTGTATTTGGTGGCGAAGGAGGAGGGACATACAGCAGCTCGTAGTCCGGTCTTTTCTAAATTAAAATAGTGATTATTTTAAATCTGGTTTAATCCTTACAAATTGAATGAAGAGATCACAATATGGTGGATTTTCAGACGTAATCCCATCAAATACAAAGGTCGCGTTCCGTGAAAGCAGGCTGAAGACGAACAGACGTTTATCACGAAAATCCGTGTTCGTGATGGTCCATGCTTCTGGCTTGACAATTTTGCAAACACCTTCCTTTGGATTAAATTGCTGTTTTTCAAAGTAATCCATCGTGAACTTGTTCGCCGCAGTTATCTCCAACCCGAAAGTCATTCCGTTGTCATTGAGAGTATTGAATGATTTCAGACCTGGTTCTACTTCGCCAACTGGAATAAACATCAAAATTAAATATAAATTTAGATGATTTATTTATTTACTTGGTTGGATGTAAGCATAGACCATAGACTCCTGTTTGCTCCACAAAATTTCAAGAGATGTCCATGGCATGCACGATTTGCAAAGACACGTTGCATTGGAAGAATCGTTTGGTCCATTGTTGAGCTTCTCGATGTCTTCGTTGCTCACACTGTAGACGAAAGGCATACTGTAAAAGTTAAAAAATTGTATATACAAACGGATACAGGAACTCAAAAATTTACCTATTATTATAGCTGTCCTCCACTTTTGTACCCGCACTAAGGCAATTTTTGATCCCTCCTCGCCTGTTCTTCACTCCAGCTTTTAACGTGATCTTGTCCTTGTTTGCCTCGTTCGTACTGAGCAAATCCACAATGCACCCTCTGCCAAACTCGTTGTACTGAATCTCGCTAAAAAACAAAAGAATTTTTATTACAAAATTTATTACAAATAAGAGGTAATGCAAACTCACATGTAGTCTTTCTCGATCTTGATATTACAGGCATCCCGAAAGCGACATTTGTATTCTGTCAAGTTGAAGTTCTTCTCTGTGACGTTGATAGTGTTCGGGTTGAGCTCCACTTGTTTGCCAGTCCTTTTGTGATTGCCGAGTCCGACGATTTCCTCCTTCATCTGTCCAGGCACTTCACACACAAAGAAGGTTGCGATGACGAGCAGCATCAGTACCAAGTAGCACACCGTTGACGACTTCCTTGTCCCAGGGCCGGTGTCAAGCTCCATTGGGAGATGGCAGCAGACGAACATGGAGTTTGCTGTTTTGGAGATAGACAATATTGATGTTTGTAGAGTTGTAATGAATGTTTGGTAGAGTTTGGGTGGATTTTAGCTTCTTTTATAGTCCTAACTTAACCATGACGATTCATATTTGAACTTGACGATGATATTCAAATTTGAGTAATGCACATAAGTACAATTAGCTAATTTGTTAAAAGCTTTGGAGTAAATTCATAATATTTCGGCTAAAAATTTTATTAGTCTTCTTAATTATTTCAAGGTAAGACGATATTATAAATATACCGTGTAATCTGTATTAATTGCCCTCCCTCAAATAATTATCCCACTTCCACTAATTACCCACCCCATCCAGCAAAAGATTGAAAGAATAATTGATCCCCATCAAATGCCCTAAAACACATTCAAATTTCAAGCCTTGAATAATTACCCTCCCTCGATTAATTACTCCCTCCAGCGGTAGGTCGAAACAATAATTACCCAGAGTAGTTATTAAAGGATATACGCTATATTAATTAGTTAGGCACTAAATAAAAACTTTTTTGTTCACTTCTAATCTGCTTACTTTTAATTTTTTCAATATCCAAGTTTATACATGTAATCTAGATGTGATTTAAAATAGTACAAAACTTTCATCAATTTTTTTGTTATCATTCTTTAGTCTCCATTTACCTCGAAAAGTCCCATCTATTTTAACTTTTAATCATTTACATAAATAAAAATAAAATCAATCAGGCCATTTTTCATTTGCAAATAATAAAAAAATTATTATGCTTATAATTACTAAATGCAAAGCAAAAAATTTTATGAGAAAAACGAGAGAAAATGAGGAGAGAGTAAATGATTTTTTAACATTTTTTGTCTGGCACCATTTAATTTTAATTAAAAAAATTAATTTAAATTAAAATTTTTTTGAAAATGGATATTTCAAATTCTTCCGAAAATGAAGGTCTTTTAATGAAAATAAATGGAAGGTGGATTTGTTTAAGTGACGAATTTGTTAAATTACATCCTGGAGGTCCTGTAATTGAACAATATAGGTAAAATATAGAGTTTAATTATCTCCTTATTTTAGAGATTTCTCCTCTTCATTTTTAATTATTTCTCATTTTATTAATGTTTAAAATACAAATTTATATTTTGTAACCTTTCACCCTCTATATAATTAACTATTTTTGGAGATTTATATGAATAATATATTTAGAAATAAACCAAAAAAGATACTTATCAAATACATAAAAGTACCCTCCAACCTCTCCTTTATTTCGACTGTGTCCACAATATAGAGATTTTGAATAAAAGATAGTATTTCTTAAATACCGGTTTTTATCTAAAATACCCCCTCACCTCTCTAGAAGTCGATTTAAAAGCTATTATAGATTCTCCTTTGTTTTTTTATTTTATGAGTCGAAAATTATTAATAAAAATTATTAATGAAAGATTATTTTAATATTATTTTTTAAAATTTAAATTTAATTTAGAGGTGCAGACGCTACACATATTTTCCATGCTTTTCATGAAGGCAAATAATTAGTTTAAACTAAAATTAATTTTCAAAAAAAATTTAAAGGTTCCAAAAAAGCTTATAAACAATTGGAAATACAAAAAGAAGTTAATCAACCTTCGACAACTTTAATTTCAACAAAAACAAATTTAAATTCCTCAAGAGATAATGAAATTATTGATGATGATTTTGTTGTTATTAATTATGATATTTCTCCAGAAAAAGTGAGAGGACAATTAAGCTGAAAATAAATAAATTTAATTGGGCAGGGGAAGCTCTTCGGAGTCAAATTTTTTAAAATTTTCACTAAATCCTTTTTATTCCCAAAGATATCCCTTTTATATTCGAGATAGTAATATCTCTATTAGAGATCAGATTTTGTCAACGATGTTGCAAAACAAATCCTTTAAAAAGCTGAAGCAGAAAAAAACCTAAGACTAGAACCTCACTTTTTTCATTTTCGAATACCCAAATGAAGAAATAGAACGTCAAGGAATTTTAAAAACAACAGTTTTTGTCGCTTAAAGAAAGGAAATTAGGAAATAAATTTATGTACAACTTTTCTAAGTAAGTTGCATAGCTATATCCAATATATCGGTTCCCTCACATTTATTTAAAAAATCTTTTTTTCCCAAAAATATTTTTAAATATGTAATTCCTTTTAAAAATTTATTTTTTTAGGAAATGAAAATAGTATTAGAATTTGAAGAACTTAGACAAGTAAATTTAGAATTAATTAAGAAAAAAAGATTTTTTTTAAAGAAAGTCCATTCCGAAGGCCTTTTAATTCCAAAACCTTTATTTTATGTCAGAAAAATATTTGAAGTTTTTTCTCTATTATTATTCGCTTTTTGGTTACAATATAAAACTTTTTATATTTTTTCTGCCTTAATACTTGGACTTACTTGGCAACAAATGGGATGGTAATTTTTTTAATTAAAAATAAAATATACATATATTTTTGTTTAAAAATCATTTAAAAGTTAGCAAAATTAACTAACAACAAATATAAATTAATTCAGCAATATAAACAAACTCTCTCTCTTCTAGCTAAGAATGACCATGAATATTACATAGTTGAATCTAGAGACCGTCGAGTACCGAGTGATTGTGAAAAAACAAAGTTCGAATAATGCCGAGTATGTATGAGGATCCCGAGTTCCGAGCCCGAGTAAAGACGAAAAAAACCCGAGCGATCGAGTCGAGTAATTCGAACTCGAACGTACTCTAGTTGAAGCACACTTTTTGGGATTAAGAAATTATACCTTATACCAAATAGAAGAAATAAACTAAATTACAAATCACACTAAATTGCAGATCTCTATTAGGTAGCTTTCCCGATCCAATGACCATGAAAATTAAAAAAATTCATCTTAAAGGAAGTTTTTTGTAGGAAAAATTTTGGGATATTTTTTTTTTAATTTAGTAGAAAACTTTTTAATAATAAAGGCTTTGTCACGAATGTTGTCATCATCAACCGACCAAAAATCGTCGTATTAATGACTTTTTATCTTTATTTTTGGGTAATTTTTCACAAGGATTCTCAAGGGATTGGTGGAAGGATAAGGTAAAAATTAATTAAATTTTGAATATTTTAATTTATTTAAAAGCATAATTTACACCACGCAACAACAAATATCATTTCCAGAGATGGAGATATTGACTTAGCTCCATTATTAGCTTTGGTAAATTTTTTAAAGCAATTTTTTGGAAAATATTACTATTTTATTGATGTTCCTAAACTTCCAATCTTGAGATGGTGAAAGAAAATCCTTAAAAAATTTTTTGTTACCTTTGAGAGGCTAGGAGACATCTTCAATTAAGAACTTTATAACTATTGTTATAAGGGCATCGGGTAATAAGCTTGGATACTTTTGTAAGATAAGTTTTGGCTAGTTCTCCATCTAAAAATAAGTTGTTAACAAGAATTAGATTTTTTTAATTTCAAATATTTTTAAAGGTTCCAGATGATTTATTTAAACAGAAAACTTTAATTTCAAATTTAATTCTTCGTCTAATTATTCCTTACCAATATTTGTAAGTTTTAAATTTAAATTTAATTTTTTAATAAAAAATTCTTTGATTTTCTTCGATTAATTTTCTCAATCCTACACAGATACTACTACATCTAAAAGAAATAAATTTTTGATTTATTAATTTCAATGAGAATTAAAGACCGGACTGGGAGGAGGGTCGTGCGAAAATCTCAAAAACCCCAAAAAAATTCTCATCTTAATAACCTAGCTTTTTTTGAAATCTCGTCTCGGTCCGATTTTTAATGAGAATAACTAAACAAAAATTACAAAATTAAAAAAAAGCTACCTAAATTAAATTTAAAATTTATTCCAGTTATTTTACTTTAATGTATCCACTTTTACGTATTTCATGGGTTACTCAAAGTATTCTACATTTATTTATTTCATCTAAAAGTAAATATAAAAAACATCGAAATGTTGCTTTATTTGAACAAGTTAATTAATTTTTAAATTTTAAATTAAAATATTTATATATAAAGTTTGCTTTATTTGGACATTGGTTTTGGGTATTTTTACAACTTTGGTTATTACCTTCTTTTTATATTAGAATTATTTATTTTGCTATATCTCAGTTTGGTAATTAATTATATGTAATTTTAATCATTGGCTATACAGGCACTTAGTGGTTATGTATTCCTTTGGGGGGATGTTAGATATCGGGGAATTTTTATTGTTTAAAAGAGATTCGAGGAATTCAAAAAATTATTGTGAGACAGATAGTATTCATCTACTCTGCTTAAACGAACAAGGGACTTAGAAGAACATAAGATTTTGATTATTAAGAGTCAGACCAGGGAAAAATTTTTTTATCTACATATGTATTCTTCCTTCTATGCTGGGAATATGACGGTAATTATTGTTTAAGGAATTTTAGCCTAGGTAAAATGTGTATGATACATCCAAATCAAAATTTTTTTATCCCGTTTAAAAATTTATCAAAAAAAATTTTTTTTAATTTTAAAAAAGTTGCCGGAACATTAATTGCTTTAGTAGTCTCTTACAACCACAATTCTGTACCTAAATTTCCAGAAAATTCTGGTTTACTAAACAATTTTGCTGCTTTACATATTTTAACTACGAGGAATATGAAAAGCTCTCCGTCTGTTTTTTACAAAAAATAAATTTATTTAATTAATTTATTTTTTGTAGTTTTGTTGATTGGTTTTGGGGTGGACTTAATTTTCAGGTAAAAGTGAACTCTTTAAAATAAAATAATTTAGGTAAGTTAAATTTAAATTTTTTTAATCTCGGTCCTTGCTAAAGGATAATCATTCGCTTTAAACAATTTTTATCGCAAGCCCTTTAAAATTCCTATTAGTTAATGATTTTTAGTTTATATCCTTTAATACTCACTGAATCAAAGATTCTGTATGTTAAAAAATCAAAAAGATTTTCTATCTGTTGCTTGACTAAGCAAAAAATGATCTTTTTAGGAAGCATTATGGTTTAATGGTTTTCCGAGTCGTTTCGTTGTCTTTGTTATTTTCCCTGTACACACCCCATTCACATGGTGCATATTGTCAGCAAATAAATTTTTTATGATTGTCCTTCCAAAGGAAAACACACTTTTGACTAGTTAGGGTCTAGCCAGCCAATAGCTATCCTTAAGTAATGTGCTTAGATAACAGAATGGTCCCATCAAGTCCATCCACCTTACTAAAATTAATTAATTTAATTAAAAAAAGATTGAACACCATTTATTTCCAACAATGCCTAGACCAAATTTGGGAAGATGTTCTCAATTAGTTCGCCAATTTTGTAAAAATAATCAACTTCCTTATATGGAAGATGATTTTTTTACTGGATATTTTGCTAGTTTAAAGTGTTTAATTTTACCTTTTTAATTTTTTAATTTTTATTCTTAAAAGGTTATTACATAAAGTTTCTAAACAAGCAATTAAAATTAATAAATCTTCTAATTAACTAATGATTTTAAAAGAAATTATTGGAAAATAAATTTATTTTTAAATTAAATTTTGTTGTTATTTTTTGTTTGATAAATATTTAATTTAAAAGATTAAAACAGTTAAACTCAATTTTTAATGATTACAGTTCACACATTACATATGAAGCTTAATAATTAAATGTTAAGTGCTTATTGTTAGTCTAACTCAGTTGGTCTGTTCCAATTAAGTTTTTTACTGGAAAAGTATTTATTACATAATTCCTGAGTTTTTATGTACTACTATGTATTTATTATTTCCATTCATCTTTCCCTGTCACTACTAAAATTTCCTCAATTTTTGGTTAAATTTTTTAAATTAAATATATTCTCACAAAATATTATAGTATTTTTATTGACGCTATTTGACTATTAAAAAAGGAAAGCTAAAGTAAATTAAAAAAAGATTTTAAAAAAGAGAAAGGATTTATATTGATAAAAGTTAATCCTTTAAGCGAAGGAATTTCACACTGTTGGATTTAATAACGTTTGGGGCTCTTATTGAATAGGCAAACGAGAAAATATAGATATTACAATTTACAAGTATATTCTGATTAGTTTACCTAAAAAATGTTCTTATTCCGAGCAGGTAAATAGACTAAAAGTCTAAAAACCAACGATAATAACGCTAAAATGTATTGCCCCCTTCTGGTTCCGAGAACTAATTCATGGAACTGGAAGGTTTTAGTTAAATTAATTTTTACATCATCAAAAGATAGGTGTTCTATATGTCTGCTAAATCCTCATAATTTAATAACTCTCCTTTGATTTTTAGTTGATTTTTGGCCTCAAGACAGAATTTTAGCTAGTTGCGCTAAAATGAGTAATTATACATTCTTGGCCAGAAGATATCAGAATTTTTATCACTCAGTAACTTTATGTCAGAACACGCCCGCATATACTACTAAATCCTCAAAAGAAACTTATTAAATTCTAATGATGTAAAAAATTCATTTTTGATGTTTTTAAAAATATATTTATTTAAATGATGTATAAGCACATTTCTTTTTGAAATAATTTAGAAGAAACCCTTTCAAGAAAATTCCAAAAAAGATTTTTAGATTGACGTAGAAAATAGAAAAATTTATTATTAAACCAAAAAAAATTTAATTTGCAGAAATAAGGAAATGAAAGTGTTCTTCCTTTTCTTCTTTTTAAATTCCAATATTTTATTTTAAAAAATATTCTTTTTTCTTTGCCTTCAAAATTATTGAAGTAAATATACTATTTACTATTAAATTTTTTTAAATAAAATACATATCATTTATGATTTTTGGCCTTCCAAAATTTTATTCTCTTCAAAAACGAATTTTTTCAAAAAAAATTTCTTTCCCTTAATTTAATCAACAAAATTTTTAAAAATTTAAAAAAAAAATTTGTGATCTATTTTAAATAAATACTCATCTTCAAGAAATGTCTTCAAATAATTTTTATTTTGAAAAATATTTGCTTGCAATTTTTGTTGGAATAAGCCAATCATTAATTTCTTTAATTTTGCCAAATATTTTTTTAAAAGACCAACAACAACAATTAATTGTAGTTATTATACATTTAATTAAATATTTTTGTTTAATTTGTGGAAACTGTTTGGTAATTCCTTTTTTGTTTAATAAAAGGTTTGAAAATGTTTAAATAATTTACAAAAAATTTCCAGAAAATTGGTATATTTTTAATTTAAAACGAGATTTATTGAAAACAAGATTAGTTAGTTCAATCTAAAGAAGGGTCTAAAATAGAGTTGAGCTGGATTGGGATCTCGATCTAAGATCGGGATCGGCATTTTCAATTAACGACCCCGATCCTGGTCCTGACTACGGGATCGGGGTTGGCCGAAATTGGGATTTGGAATAATGACCCCGATTGAAATATCATGATCGGGATTCAAAATAAACCAGGAAAACTCAACCTTAGTATAAATTCTCACGGAATTTAAGATTAATAGTTGTTGGTTGAGCAGCCAATTTTAAGAAACGCATCTCACTTCAATCAACGATATAAGGAGTATCAAAATTTAATTTATTTTGACGGGTTAATTTCTAAAATATTATTAATAGTTGAATAATTATTATAATTTATAAACTCATTAAACATTCCTATATTCTATTTTAATTACAATAATTGGAATTTAAATAAAGTACTTAACAACTTAGTACCTAAAAACTTATTTAATTTTCGATCACATCTGCCGCTATAGCTCAGCCGGTTAGAGCGTGGGTCTAATAAGCCCAAGGTCACAGGTTCGATCCCTGTTAGCGGCATATATTTTTATAGAAAGTTTCTTACGATTTTAAAAAATTGCGACCTTGGACTGGCTATAAGTTATTAGACCCACGCTCAAACAGGCTGATTGTGAGCTATAACGGCACACGGACGATAAAATTAATTTAATTACTAAATTTTTTTCTTTTTTTAAGTAAACTCCCAACATTAATATTTAATTATTTTATTAATGAACAAGAACAACAACTCTTAATTAACAAAAAAATTAATTTACTTTTATTTTTAATTATTTTATTAAAATTAATTTGTTTTGGATTTTTGATTATTTTAATTGAGGAAATTAATTTATTTAATTTAAATTTATTTTTGTTTTTATTCTCAATTTTTGGCATTTGTTTATCTGATGGAATTATTCAAAGAATTTTGTTTTTTGAATTTGTTGACTTAAATAAAAATGGAAAAAATAAATTTATTTTTGTTTGTTTTTTTAATTTTTAATAATTTTATGAAAGCCTTATTTAGTCCTCTCTTTATAGTCAGAAAAAATCTCTCTTAGAGATCAGTCAAATCAAAGTTTTGATTTTTCAATTTTTTCAAAGAATTTTAGTTGAAATTTGATTGGTTTCTTTGGAGAAAGAAACTGATCGAAAAACCAACCCAAAAAATCCTCGTTTCCTAGGTTCGATTCAGAACCGATAGCTCTACTTGTTTACAATTTAAAATTATTTTTACACCTTAATAATTAATAGAGATTTCAAAAATTATTTAATGTAATTTTAATTTAGATTTTGCTTCTATTCTCTTTCGGAACATTTTTGTCTTCTTTATTTATTAGCGAGAATCAATCAACAACAAAGTCAATTTATTTAAAAAACTTTTAATTAAAATTTATTACTTTTGCAGTTCATCTATCCACCACCAACAATTTAATATTTTACAAAAATTTCCTTTAATTAAACTTTCAATTAATTTAAATTATTTAATTGGGTTTTTGTTTATTTTTCAAGTTTTTTAAAATTATTTTTTAATTTTATAATTTTTAAAGTTAATTTTATTAATTCCTTTTTGGCCACAAAAAGAAAAACAACAACAACAATCTACAGAAATTAATTATTTGGTTGATTTAAATAAACAAAAAAATTGTAAATTTTTTTAATTTTTAAATTTCGAGAGGAGGATTGGGGTAGGAGACGGAGAAGTTTTGTTTATTTTTTTTTATTTTTTTTAGGGATTTTTTCGCAAATTTCTAATCGAGGTTAAAAAGTAAAATTAACAAATGTGTAGATAATGGATCATTCAAAACCAAATGCTCGAGCTTTTTTTCGAAACCTCCCGATCAAAAGAAAATTTTGAAAACCTAAGCATTTCCTGGTATAAAGATTAAATGATCACATTTCTGTCAAAAGTTAATTTAAATAGATTAAATATATACTTTATTTATTACCCTGGTTAATTATTGTTTCAACCTCTCTATTGAGAGCAAATTAATAGAGGCATATTTGAGGAAAGGTAATTAATAGAGTATATCCGGTAATCTTTAAATTTTAGCCATCAATAGAAAATTGTTAAATTTTGGAGTTTTTAGATTTAAATTTTGTTTTTATTCTACCTAAAAAATTTAAAAGAAGTTTAATTTTTAATTAAAAAATAATTTTGTATTTTATTTTCTAGCTAACAACAACCAAAAACAACATCAAAATTATTCTTTTCCCAAACATTTATTATTTTATTTATCAATTTTGTCTTCAATTAATTCAAGTCTTTTTAATTGTTTTGGTTATATTTTATTTGCTTTTGAAGAAAAAAATAATTTGAATAAATCGAGGGATGATTTAATTATTTTTTATGTGAGGGATTTTAATTTAATTAAAAATTAAAAAAAATTTTTTTTCAAAGTTTTTTTCTCTTTTTTCCTTAACATTTTTAACAATACTAAAAGAACAACAACAAAAATTTTTTAAAAGAAAATGTTTTTCTTTTCTATTTTCTCAAAATATTCTTTTACCTATTGCTTTGGTTTGTTTTTTTAATTTATGTAGAAAAAAAATTTAAATAAAAATCTGGGCCCGTAAAATAAGAACTCAGTCACCTGACGATGGTTACTTGACCATGGTCACCTAACCATCGTTAAATAACCACAAGGTCATTGTAAACCGGTAAAATAGGAAAATCGCGTGGTTAACCCTACCTTAAATAATTTTTGTTTCCTTTGTTTGGGCTTTAATGAATATTTTAAATCTAAGAATTAACGGGGAAAAAACAAAGGGACAAGAAAGACATTAAAAGGAATCCTTTAAATTAATTTAAAATATTTATCTAGTTTGGTGCCGGTAGTGCTTTGTGTACTCTAAATTCAGAAATATTACATCCATTTTCTGTTTCTTTATTTGGAGCGTCTTTAGCAATTATTTGGCCGGCTACTTGGTTCCAATTTATTGGCGAATTAAATTGTAAAAATTTATTTCTTTCATTATAAAAAATTTTAAATAAAAATTTTTTTATTGGTTGTCCCCTTAAAACAATGCTCGAATTTCCGCAATGCTCGAGTTTTTTTCTTTTAAATTTTTTAAAATAATTTAATTTATTTAATAATCTCCAAATCATTTAATTACACCAAATACTTTTTGAGGGGCCAATTTATTTTTTCGAAAATTTTGAGCGTCTATTAGAGAGTGTGCCTTTTTATTAGAATATTTACTTGTTTATTACTAAAGAATTTTTATTTTAAAGATAACAACATAAAAACAATAAATAACCAAATATCAACATTAATAACAATAATATTAATTTCTTCACATTCTGGCCCATTCATTTTTCCGTTTATTTTAACACAAGTAAATAAATAAATAAATTTTTAAATTAATTATTTTTAAGATTTATATAATTTATGGAGGTCCAGAACTTTTTACTTCAATAGAATTATTTTTTATATTTTTAATGGTTATTGCTTTTGTTTGTATTTTAAATATTCGGGCTAATCAGCAGCAATCTGGAAGTAACGAAAATATAAATTGTTTTTAAATATATTCTACTTTCTCTTTTTAACAAGCTCTTTCCTAACTAGAAAGTTTAATTAGGAGTTTGGCTAAATTAAAAATTAGTTTGCAGGCCCCATATTGGATAAGTTAGGTTAAGAAAGGGTTATGTTTTATGGCGTATTCACTAGGGATGGATTTTTTTCCGCTTCCGTCTTCCCCCTACTTCCATCTTTTTTTGGGTCTTCCGTCTTTCGCTTTTTTATGTTCTTCCGCCTTCTGCTTTTTAAAATACAAAATTATTCGTCCTTGGTCCATCCTTAGTATAAAATAGTAATGGGAATGAGTAGAGAATTCTTTTGAATTGCTATTTTTGCCATAAGACGTAAGTTATGTGAACATGCCATTATTAAAACTCGAAATATTTTTTTAGTTGGCTAACTTGGGTTTTCTAGAAATCAGGAGACATATGTATACTCCAAACCAAAATATATTTTCATAAAAATGCCGACAAATTACAAAGAAAAAATAATTTTTTAAAGGTCAATTTTGGCATTGGTTCCGTGGAGAAGGTGGTCGTCGAACACGCCGTTCTATTCGCCTATTTGTTAATAGTTTTAGAGGAAGTCTTCGACGTCGACAAAAGATTTCACGTAATCGTCAAAATAAAAGAAGAGTTGGAACCAGAGCTGCACGAAAATGAAATTTTGGCCTCAACGAAACGAAAACGAAAAAAATAAAATCATGAATCTACGAAACGAAAACGAAACGAAAAAAATAAATTTCATTTTTACGAAACGAAAGAAACGAAAAAAATCTCAATTTTCACGAAACGAAACGAAACGAAACGAAAAATCTAAATTATAAATCTTTAGATTTTAATGCTAGATAATAAGTTTTTCGAGGTTGTACGTGTGTCTAAATGTATCAAACATTTGATTGAATTCAAATATTAGCCTCCAAATCCTTTGATATCCCTTCAAATACTTTGATATCCACTTAATCCATCATATTCCCTGATATTCCCGATTTAGGAGGTAAGAAATATATCGTGTGATATGGAGTAATTAAGAGGAAGTGTGTGGATATTGTTAGGTGAGATATTTAGGGGCTAAACGATTTAGAAGCAATATTGATATTCTCTCGGATGCCCGTATTAATCCACAAAAATCTTCTAATGCTCTTTGAATTCTTATATCCCGCCTCATTCTCTATCCATTTAATTTCTCTATTTCCCCAAATTTACTTCCAAAATTGCCCATTTAATTAAGGTGGTAAGCGTGGTGAGCAGAGTCGGTAGGAGGCAGAGGTGGGTCGGAATTCAGTTCCACCCATTCCTGATCTGGAACTCAGATCCCCGATATCCTTCTATATCGACTGATATCCTCACCCTTGATCCAAATCACTTTAAATAACCAGTAAAAATGCCCTAGGCAACTCAAACTGAAGATACAAGGAACCGTTTTTAGCGCCGCAGGCGAAAATTTTGAGAAATTTGGAAGCCAAGAAGCCAGATTTCTTCCATTTTCAGCGCCGCAGGCAAAATTTTTTTTAATTTTCAGTTCCCGGGCGAAAAATTTACAATTTTTGGCTTAAAAATACAACAAATTAGAAAAAAATTGCCTAAATCCATCGAATATTATTTTCGTCATTTTCGTCTAAAAATTGGGTTTACGAAACGAAAACGAAACGAAAATATTTTTTTAACGAAATACGAAACGAAAGAAACGAAAAAAAATATTTTCAAACGAAACACGAAACAAAACGAAAATCATCAAAAATCCACGAAAATCTACGAAAACGAAACGAAACGAAAAATTTTCGTGCAGCTCTGGTTGGAACTGCAGATTCTGCACTCTTAGAAGAGAGTAGTATTTGTGGTGGACATTCAGCTTTAAGTAATTATAATAGTTTTCAGGTAAAATATTTAAATTTAATGAGGTACTTTATGTAATCGCCAAACGCATTCGGGAAAGTCGTCGACGATGTTATCCGTGTCGGCGACGTCAACCGTTGATGGCGTGACTCGTGTCGAAGTCATTAACGACGACATGAATTGTGTCGAGACTACGTCGTCAATCGTGTCGACACGACATTGACGACATCAATTGTGTCGTGCTCACGTCGTCAACTCGTCGACACGACATTGACGACATCAATTGTGTCGTGCTCACGTCGTCAACGTGTCGACACGACGTCGACGACATCAATTGTGTCGAGACTACGGCGACAAGCGTGTCGAACACATAATCAAGTACGACGAAAATAAAAATAATGGAAAACGGAGATTAACTTTATTCATGTGACTGCTGATAAATAAAATAACCCCTCCCATACTTTTTCAAAAAATCTAAATTTTTATAACTCACGATCCAAAATTTAATTTTTTCCAATTTTTAGACATTAAATGAACGTATTACAAACAACAATAGTCGTCAGAGTAATCAAAATCGTTTATTTTCTCGACAAATGTCTGAACAACAAAGAGAAAATCTTAAAAACAATTCAAAACCCAATTCGCCCCTTTCATTACGTCGAGCACAATTTTCATTGCCTTCTATTGTAATTCATCAAGAAACGCCTACTGGAAGTAGAGGAAGTGTTAATAGTTGAAAGGAGTTATTGAATTCAAGTCTAATCGGATCTCATTATACATTTAATATTAAATACTCACAATTTTTCAACGGCTGTAAAGCCAATCTATTAATTCTTTTCCTTTAATTTTGTTTAACTCAAAAGATCTCCTAAATCTAGAAAAAGATTTTTTAAATTTATTTAGATGATATTGGAGGTACTTTAAATAAAAAGTTATATGTATTGTGTCAGTAAAGGATTTGATTTTTTATTTTCTATAGAGTTCTTTAAACCCTTTAAATTTTTTAACTCCTCTTGGACGTCTTTCTTAAAGGACGGCTTTTTGAATAACGTTTGCCCAAGAGAGTGAAGCTATGTAGTAGTTGACAAGTTGTGATGTATATCACTTAAATCAAATCCTTCAATCGCTTAGCTTTAAGAATTTAATACATAATGAAAAAATTTTATAAAAAATAAAAATATTCACAGAGAAAAACAACTTTAAAAAAATAAATTTTAACCTATTTTTGGCAATTAATGAATAAAATAAATTTATAAAAAAATAACAATTTAAATTAAATCTGACGTAGAATCACCCCCAAGAAAACGCATATCTCTTGCATAGAAAGCGAAATTTGAAGGTGAGGTATTTCCATTATTTTTGTGTTCATTTGTTTTATTTTCAAAATCAAAGCGAATACCAAAATCTTTATCAACTTAAAAAAAATTTTTTTTGAGAAAATGTCCATCCCATATCAACCCCAAAAGCATCCGACACCTTTCCCGAGATCTTTGATTTCAAAAATGACCCCCCCACTCCCCCATTTAGTTTACCTTTCATTGGCTTTTCTCCACTTGGGTCAATATGTACAAGAGCAATTGAAGAACCGACTCTATAAAATATAAATATTATAAATTTAAGAGAAATTGGAACTAAATAATTTTTTATATTTTGTGAATATTTTTAGAAACGGCGCCAAAACTATGAGAGATGTATGCATTTTAACAATTATTTCAGGTAGACGGGACAGTATCTTTTATGGGATTTTCTGATCCCGTAATTGAGTTAATGGGGTTTCCGGGGATCAATCCCTGTTGGATCCCAAACTTTAAAAAATTTAAATATTTAATACAAACTCTGCCAATTTCGGAAAGAAATGTTGATCCCAATTGCGAAGAAATGAATTTGAAATGAATAAACGTCTTCCATCTAAAGACAATTGAAGACGACAAGGGCCACCTTCATATATTTTTCCATTTAATTTTATTTGTTCTGTATTGTAACTCTTTTTAAGAGAGGGGAAATTAATTAATTAAATAATTTATTTACTCTTTGGGTGCTTGTACTTTTCCCCAAAGGCATTTTGCCTAATTCGGAGATACCAATACATTTGTAAATAATTCCGCCAAGAAAGACCTTTAAATTCAAATTTTCAAGTTATTTTTAATAATATTCATAATAAATTTGGAAAATTTAATATATGATTTTTAATTTTTGAAATTATTTTCATCCTAAAAAAGTAGGCAGATATTAAAACAATCAGTCAGTGATGGGATTGTATAGCCTTTTCAATTTTTCAATTCCCGATCTACCCGAACCGGGAAGCGGACCCTTTGAATACTAAAAATACTTTCAGTCAGTGATCCGATCAGTCAGTGATGGGATTGTACGGCGCGCCGAAATTTGCGGATTTTAATTTGCGGACCCGAAATTTGCGGACCCGAACTTTGCGGACCCGAATTTTGCGGACCCGAACTATGCGGACCCGAATTTTGCGGATCTGAGATTTGCGGACCAAAAATTTGCGGACCGACAATAGAGTCTACTGAACTTCGGAAATTTCAAAAATTTCAGCCTGCGGCGTTAATTAGGATGAATTCAGGCATCATGACCTTATGAGATGGCCAAATAAATGATTTCTTCAAGGAATTTTCTCGATTATTTAAATTATGAAATAATTTTAAGATAAAAAATTGATAAAAATTTTGAAAAATCAAGAAAAAAATCTTGATCTGGTACGGATCATGGTAAACTCTGCCGGGATCATCGAAAAATAAAATTTTTAATTTTTTCTTTTTACTCAAGTGTCGGTCTTAAAATCTTGGTTCCGCAAAATTCGGGTCCGCAAACTTCGTGTGCGCAACCTTCGGGTCCGCAACCTTAGTTCCGCAAATTTCGGGTCCGCAAAGTTCGGGTCTGCAAAATTCGGGTCCGCAAAGTTCGCGCCACGGATTGTACTATTGTGGTAAATAATCTTGCATTGCATAGCTTTCAGGATCAAGTCCCCTGTGATCTTTTGCTATTTTCTAGGATAGTTCGGCCGCTTACCACATACATAGTACTATTTAATTTTGAGTTTCTATTAAATCCTAAGTTCCAGAAAAATTTCTTTTTTTTAGGTTTGTTAAAAAATAGAAGATTATTTCAATTTAAAATTTCCAAAATTTTAAATTTTTTCTCACTTTCTGTGTCAAAGAAGGTCTAAAAGGGTCAGAAATATCCAATTGAGCAACAAATCCATGAAATGCCGCACACACATATAAATTTAAATCATCCATAGAAATAGCCATATCTGTGAGGAATGCTGGGACTTCTGGACAATTTCCTGGCCAGTCAGTAGGCCCAATTATGACGGGAGAAAAAGAAACAATTTTATCAGCTATAAATTGTCCACTCCTCGTACATTTGTGTAAATGATAGATGGAACTTCCAATTGATGTACAAACAAAGCCGTGAGTTAATTCTGCATGATGTAACATTCTAATACATACAGGCCATAAACCTCCCTCTTCTGGATTTAGCCGAATCTTTTTTTAAATAAGTTTTGAATAAAGGTGTAAAAATAATAATGAAAATATTCATCTCCTACTGATTCAAAATTAGTTAAAAACCAGCAATTTAAAGTTGGAATGTTTTAAACCAGCACCAAAATTTTTACTTTCCAGAATCTAATCTTATTTTTCAATATTCCCTATCTAACCGAACCGGGAACCGGTTCAATTTTTGATCTGACTGAACCGGATCGTCCGAACACTAAAAATATTTTTAATTAAATTACTGTTTGAATTAGTTTTCGTCTTCGCATTTCCCAAACTAAAAATTTAATATTTAAAAATAAATCCAACAAATTAATTAATTACCATTAATTCCACATCCATAAATTGTATTTGGCTCATCATTTCCATTTAAATTTTGTTTAAGACTGGGTTTTTGTTGAAATATTTGATCTAGATTACCCCATTCTGTTGAAAATACCTTTAAATTGGAAAATTAATTTTTTAATTTTATTAAAGAATTTTCTATAATTAAATTCTCTCCCTTTACCAGTTATTTATTATACCTCTCCCGCAATTTAAATACCTTCAGAAAGTAAAAAATTTCTTTGAAAGATTAAAATAAATCCTCGGGTATACTCCCTCAACTGTTATAATTAGAGCCCAATTAGAAGGGTCGATCGGCATTTTTCATTTACATATAGAAGAAATCGAGATCGAAAATGTTGTATCTAGTTCTGTAACATTTATGGTTATGGCAACAATTTAACTTGTTGCAATCAGATCCACGGTAAACATTGTGTTTTTTCACTAGAATGTTATTCCCTAAATAACCCTTAAATAATCCTTAAATCAAATGTTTGACAGTAAAGACAAAGATAATGACTAAAAAATGAATGAAATAACCAGAAAAATGCTCAGTTACCCCACAACTTAAAAATCAGCCTTTAAAAGATCTAAAATTAACAGGCACAAATATTTCAAAAATAATTTCTTCTAATTAGTTCTTACCACTCCATTCCTCAAACTGATTGCTAAAAATGAAAATTAGAAAATATATTTATTTATAAATTTCCCTAACCAAGTGTTCCCCCAAACATTGGAAATTTAAATTTTTGGCCATTAGTTGCGAAAGAATTTGTTGTTGTAGTTGTGGTACTTTCTAAGGAAATAACTGCAGAATTAGAGAAAGTAGAAGTCCCGGAATTAATTGAAGATTCTCTTTAAATTAGTAAAAAATTTCCAAAAAAATTTATTCAATCTTCACCTATCTTCAGATGTAATAGACCGTTTTCTTCTATCAACTGGACAAAATGTTCGTCTATCCAATCGTAACAAATCCCCTATAAAAAATTTTTTATTTGAAAAAATTCTTCAGAAAAACCTTTACAATGTCCACTTCTATCAACTGTAGTAACTAAAAGAAGGGGAATGGCATTTGATCGAACAGCACTGTTTGAACAAACACTTAATGGGGCGCCTTTGAAAAGAAATTTTAAATTTTGTAATATTTTTTTAATTTTGTTAAAGCTTTATCAGGCTTTTTAGCCCCAAACTCAATTAAATTACACTGAACTCCTTTGATATGCCACTCTCGAGACCGACAGAAACGAAGTGTATTAACGGGATTTCCGTGTATTTTATCCCTGGATGTTTCTTTCCAACTCTCGTTTTCAATATCCCCGTATTTCCTTATTTTAATTTTTATCATTAAAAAAGTTTTTAGAGAAAAATGTTTTACTTAAGAGAGAAATTTTCCATTGTTTTTATTTTTTGTTGTTTCCATTTACAGGTGACAAAAAAGTGACCGGGCAATTTATTTTTGGCATAACTTAATTCAACTTATAGATAATGGGATCAAATTAAGCGTATATGATAGAGAATTAAACAAGGAACAAATATAATAATGCTTTATTAACTAAACTGGAAGCGAAACTTCATCGTACTTAAAACATGCTACACTATAAAAGCTGATTTCTTGATCCGAGATCAGTCTCCTGCTCTTCTACTCATCATCAGCTCACCTAACACGAAGGTAACTTCATCTTTATTTTATTCCTTAAATCCAAATTTTACGTCTTTTTAGGCACGGGAATATGTCGGGTCTAAAGGAACGTCCTGTATACAAAGAGATTAGACGCTTCCGCAGCCGTCAAGCATTTCTCTATTGGTGGAAGGATAATGAAGAGGTTGGTTGGAGAATCAATTCTCGCAATCCTAGTCGTGAAGGTACTGTTGAATATTGGAAGTGCGCGGTGAGTGACTAGAAGTCTTTTAGATCCCTTCAAAATTTTCTCTTTTTTTCAGTTCAAACAGGACAAAGTTTTTGCGTGTTTGGCCAGTTTGCGCATCGTTTTTGGACGTCATGATCGCTTTGTTACTGTTGCTCGCAATATTATGCGTCCACATTGTCACACACAAATACGCGGATTGAAGGTGAGTAAGGCCTGAATTTTGTTGAGTTTTATTGGACCTTTAGTCAAGAACCACCAGTTAATTGTCAGAAGGTTAAGAAAGGGAGCCTTCCTTTCATTAAAAGATTTAAACATTTTAATCTTATCTATTTAAGGGGGAGGAAGAAGAACGCTTATTCCAAGAGGTGGCGGCTTTTCCTATGCAAACAGCGCAAATCCTTCACTTCCCTTCACAACCAGCAGGAACGGAAGGACCTTCTGAAAACCCTACAGCCGATTCCGCACTTCCCACTGCAATCGCGATTGAGATGGATGGCCCGTCAACATCAGCGGTCAATGAGCCTCAGACGGGAGTGGCGACAGTTGCCAATCGGCCTAATAACACCCCTGGTACTTAGGCTTCTACAATGACTCATGCTTCTTGGTGATGATAGAAAGAATAGGCAAAAACTATAGGAAGAGAATAAAAAGACATGTAAATAGTCTGTATATAAATTGTATGTATATAAATATTCCTTGTTATGTAAATTGTAATATACATATATGTAGTAAAAATTGTATTGCAATAAGTTTTTTATTAAAATGGGTATAACACGTTTTACGGTATAACAACCAAATTTTTTTATTTTTAAAAAAAGAATGGAGTATGATGTTAAAAATCTACAATTCGAGCCCTTCAGTTGACAAAACTTATCGACTGATAGAAAAATTTTAAGCCGAACATGGTATTAAAAAAACTTTTCCTTCCCCTAAAAGACTGGGATTAGTGGAATCTTTCTCTTTTTTAAACTCAATTTTTAAAAAAAAATTATTTAATTACCTAAATCCCATCTAGACAATTCCTCTCGTGTAATGCACTAAAAATTTTGAAAAATTAATTTGTTCGTTTATTTGCCTCCCCACCAGAGAACCTTTTGAATTCGTATATGTGTAGATACTGCTGAAGAAGAACTTTCAGCTTGTTTTTGTGCTTTTAAACTTCCATTTTCTGATCCATTATTTAATGATGCATCCATTAATTTAAGTATATAAATTCTTGAATGTGAAGGGACGGGGACTATTAACTTGTAAAAAAGAGAGATTAATTTTAAGTTCAGTTACCGTAAAACCTGTATTAATTGCCCTCCCTCAAATAATCACCCCTCTCCTATTATTGAATAATTATCCCATACGACGATAGATGTAAACAATAATTACCCCCCCCCCCCATCAAATGCCCTAAAACACGTTTAAATTTCAAGTCTTATATATCGTATTTATTCTAATAGAATGGCCATCATTCTATTGTTCAATACCCCTAAAAAAGGGGCTATTCTATTGGAGGGGTCATTCAAATAGAGGTAGCCATTCTATTTTTCATTACCCACAAAAAGGGGTCATTCAATTGGAGGGGTCATTCTATTAGAATAAATACGGTAATTACCCTCCCTCGATTAATTACTTTGAAACAATAATTACCCAGGGTAGTTAATAAAGGATATACGGTAGTTTTCTAAATAGTTTAATACCGTGAATTGTTGATTGTTTTGTGGAATATCAGTTTCGTCGGAGTGTAACAAAGATTGTGTATTTCTTATACAAGCGAGCGAATATAGCTAAAAAAGAATTTGGGTTAAATTTTAATTTTTTCTACCTCCTCTCCAGGCATTGGCAAACTTAAACGACAAATAATTTTTCCAAAATTTGTGCTAGCCAAGTCAACATCAATCAAAACTAATTGTGAAGGGTTTTCTACATTACAACTAACCAATAGAACAACCATTCTTTTTTCTCTTTCAAATATTGACTTGAAAAAAATTTTTGTAAACTTATAATAAAAAGACACTCTCTAATAGAAAGGGAAATGTTTGGTGAGAGAATGGGGTATCAGGGAAAATGCCGTCTGGATTTCTAATAATCGGGTTATTTTTTATTTTAGCATACATTCCTTATTATTTACTAAGACAGTGAGAAGTTAGACGTCTATTTGCCCAAATTTATTAATTATATAGCTTCATTTAACCAGAAATACAAAACCCCTCCAGGGGCCTATTTCTCCCCTCCGCAGAATCTACGGACACCGGAGAAATAGAATTTCCACAGAATCTGCGTTGTGTACAGAATGCAGAATCAGCGGAGGGGAGAAATATGCCCACGATATAAGTGCACCTTTTAGCCAAATCCTTGGCCACCGATACCCCCCCCCCCCTTGGCCACTCATTTTCCTTTTTTGTTATTTCTAAATTCAAACAAACACCTCATCAGAAACAATATTAGATATATTCTTTTGTAAATCATTTGTAGGTAACAAATTTAAATCCGAATCTTTCTTTTCTAATTTCGAATCTAATTTATTTATTGTATTCTTTTTAATTAATAAAGGTTTTTCTTTAAGTATTGGTGATAATTTTAATGAGGAAGCTTGCCTTACAATTAAACGTTTTTTTGTTGACTTGAAAAAATTTAGAATAAAAAATTAAGCAAAAATTTGATTTAATTTTACCGAACAAACACCCATTTTTTGTATTTTTTTATATTTTAAAGGCACAATTCAAAAATTAATATTTTTGGCTTAAATTATGTTTTGAAATTACTAAAAAATAAAAAAAAAAATTTTTTAAAGTTGTTTAAATTAATTCTGGGTTTTGAAAGGAATTCTTTATGAAGGTAAAGAAATTTTAGAGAGACTAAATCAAAAGAAATCTACCGTATTTCCTAAAATAGTACTCCCCCCTGAATTAGTACTCCCTCCTTAAATAATACTCCCCTTTGGAGGAGGGTTGAAAAATAGTACTCCCCCCTTAAATAGTACTCCCTCTAAAATAGTACTCCCCCCTAAAATATTTTTCCCCTATATTTGAAAAAAATTATAAAAGAAACATTGAATTATTCTATTGAAATTTACTTATTGAATTATTTTATTTATTCTGATTAGGGTTGTCGGTTTCACTTAATTCTTCGATAACCGAAACCGGACAGCTTTCGCTTACCGAAAACGAACTGAAATTTTAACCTATAATATGTTCTGGATTGATCAAGTGGGGTCTAAAAGTTCCAATTCCCCTAGTTCATCTCTAACTAGATCAAGTAGTATGGTTTGATAAAGGAATTTGAGAGAAAAATGAAGGATGAGTGTTCGGGACGCACTCATTCCCGAGCGTTCGGGACGAAACCCTACTTGTTATCACGCCTAAATATGGATATCCTAGAATTCGTAAGGATATTCGAAGAAAAAGAGATGTGGAGGATATCGGTGATTAATGCTGATAAATCCCTGGACACAGCGATTAGGTACATCAATTTCTCAGTGACATTGAATAATATCGGCGGATATATGCGGATTCGTAAGATTATGAGTTTGAAAAGATTAAGGGGGATATCAGTGTTTTTGAAGGATATCTAGGGAATTTGACACATACAAGTGTATGAATTAGTACTCCCCCCTGAATTAGTACTCCTCCCTTAAATAGTACTCCCCTTTGGAGGAGGGTTGAAAAATAGTACTCCCGGGAGTACTATTTTAGGAAATACGGTAGGTAAGTTTAATTTTAAAATATGTATGGTTGTTAAGGTATGAGAATGTTTTTAGTAATATGAGAGGTTGTCAAATCGAGGTTAATTAAAGAGAGAGAGAGAGTTGTAGAGCTTCACCGGAAGTTCCGGTTCCGGGTTGGTTGTAAAGTTCCGGTTCTGGTCAAATTCGCTTTTCCGGTGAGGCACTAGAGAATTGCCCCCATAAACTGCAATTTAGTTTATTTTATAATTACTTTTGGTTAAAAAAATGGTTCTAGAGGGATATTAATTTAAAACTCTCCCACTGTTTAGCCCTGCAAAAATAAAAAGAACTAAAAAAACGTGAAAAATACAAATCTCTTTCAAATCTCTTTTCCCGGCCTACTTAGTCATCAAAAATATTAAAAAATATTTTAGTAAAAATAATTTTATTTATTTATTAAAAATAATTTAGTAAAATAATAAAATAATTTTTTTAATAAAATTTGATTTAAATATTTATTGTAAAAAGGCGCTTAAATAAAGCAATTTATTTAATTGACACCCTCACATTCTTTTTAAATAAAAAGAAAATATTTTTTAAATTAACTAAAAAGCTGCCCAGGAATGTGTAGTTAATTGGAATTAAGGAGGTTTTTTAAAGGATTAAATTTAAAAAGAATGTATGGGGGGAGGGAGAGGGGAGGGAGGGAAGGTTTAATTAAAGTTGTAAATATTTATTAATTACCTTATTAAAAAGATGAAAAAAATTTTTTTAATTAAAAAAAACCAATTAACTTAATGGATATTTGTTTTGTTAATCTTATTTTGGGAAGTAAAAAAAGAAAAAAATTTTTTAGATTAGAGGGGCTAAATAAATAAAAAAATTTTTTAAGATGGTAAACATTTACAGTAATTTTTGGGGTTTTAGTTGGAGAATTTAATTTTTTGAAGAAGGAGAGGGAGGAGATCAAGTGATTATTAAAATTGGTTTATCTTTCTAATTTTTTGAAATTTTTGGGGAAAATAGGCGGGGATAAAAAACTAGACAAATAACGAAATCATTGAAAGAAATTTTGATTTTTCAGGTAAAAATCAAACAAATTAAATTCCAAACAAAATTCATTTGTCCCTTTAAATCTAAATAGAGAGTAAGGAGATCGAGTGAGTAAAATTGGGACGATAACTCGAACGAAAATAAAGGTTATCGAGATAAAGATTTCCTGAGATATCTCACACGATTCTTGTACGACACTCCAAGTCTGGTATCTAAATCTTTAATGATATGTAGACATAATCTTTTTTTTCTGTCCTTTGACTAATACTTACTAGAGATCGGTCTGGATCTGGATCCAGTCTGGATTTTTCCTGGATCCAGAATCCAAATCCAGGATTTTTGAAAATACCGATCTCTAATACTTACACTATAAATAATCTGTCAATATAAATTTTTATTCGCCTAAACTAAAATAAATATCCCCCTAAATCCCCCTGAACTGAAATACATTTTAAGAATGATTCAAAAGAAATTTTTTTATTTGCTCTTTTAAATAATTTAAAAACAAAAAATATATAAAAATTAAGAAAAAAAACCCTAAATATCTCCTTTCTTTAAAGGATATTTAAAAATATTAAATAACTTTTATTAGAAGAAATAAAAAGAATTAATGTGTGTATATGTTAATCCGCTTTTTCTTGCTAATGACGGTTTGGCGCAGACAGTTTTGGCGCAAACTTGTCTCAGTCTTTTCTTTTTTCTCATACCCTCACCAGTTGCCAATATTGCCAGATACTATGTAATTTTCATTTTATATATCAGTTCAAAGCCCTAATTATCGAAATTATTTTTTCTGAAAGGATCAATCTGATCTAAGCAACCCCTAAAAATTTGTAGTCAGAAACATGTCGTCAATTGTGACGTTCTTAGCTTTTCGGTTTATAACTTTTCAATGATTTTAGGATCACTTCTGTCCTTTTAGAAAAACGAATTTGCTATTCAAAAGCTTTCAAATAGTAAAAGAAAAATATTAAAAAGAGCGATGTGAAAGCTTAATCCGGGCAGGCTTCGATCCTGCGACCTCCTGCCAGTAATTGCTAGGCACTTTCGCTCACAACGTACAGGTGCTCTACTAACTGAGATACCTGGACCCTGCTTTCACCTTTTCCTTTAATAAATGCTAGCCAGCTGGATCTTTCTCTTCCTTACGAAATTATTTTTAATTAATTAAATTACAAAAATTTATTTCTCCCATTAATTCCTGCGCCAAGACATCCCCCTTAACTTTTTCTTTGCTTTTTACATTACTTTTATTTAATATACGGGGCTTTAATGTATTGAAGATTTTGTTTTAAAAAAATATATTTATTAATTTATTTTCTAATTGATTTTAAAAAACAATTTTTAAATCCTAAAAAACAAAAATCTCTTTATAAAAAATTCAACAAAAATTAATTAAAATTCATTATTCTGTTGCTTTTCTTCACTTTCTTTTTTAATAAGCTCCTTCAGTTCTATTTGGAAATTAAGCCAAGAATTTGGAGGTATGGAAGGGGATCTCCCTTTTTCTCCATAAGCTTTAAATTAATTTTTAAAAATATTTTTAGACTTCTTTGTCAACAAAATTTTGGGTTATTTTTAATTTTTATTCAGAAATTTGCTTGGTGAACCTGCCGGATTTTAAAAAGGAAAACCCAAAGGAGAATGAAAGCGACACAAAATAAAAGGGGGCAGATGAAATGCTGAAGCAGAAAGGTCAAAAAAGGTGAAAAAGGCGTAAGCGGAAGAGAGCCATCCCTGGCAGTGAGCCTGGTAGAGAACCTCCCCTGAAAGACATAAAAGATAAATTCCCGGTTTCGGGACAGCATATCCTTGGTAGAGATCGGTATTTTCAAAAATTTTGGATCTGGATTTAGATTAGTAACCTGGACAGGATTCTTGAACTGGATCCAGGAAAAATCCAGACTGGATCCAGATCCAGACCGATCTCTAATCCATGGTATATTAGAGAATATATTTTTGCCCAAGGAAAATTAGTTTTCATAAATTTATCTGTTCAATAAAATAACCTTTCCTCTTTTTTGTTCACATTTTAAATTATTAATAATTTTCCTCACCCAACTCTGGCGGAATTACTAAACGCCTTCGTTCACCTTCACACATTCCAGTCATTGCCCTATCCATTCCTTCTATAACTTGCCCCATGCCTAATCTACAAAAATATTTTTAAATATTTTTTAAATCCTTTTTTTCTACCTAAAATCAAAAGTAACTCCATTATCATGTGAAGAGCCAACATAAGTTCCATCATTTAAAAATACAGTATAATGTTGTTTAAGAAAATCACCCTTTTCTGCACGTTTTCCTTTACATTCTTCTTCCGGTGGTTGGTGTGTTATCTGAATTGAATTCATTTATTCTAATAAACGCTCATCTTCTGATATAACTCGATATCCCTTCCCACATCCAATTGTTGCCATACACCTCACTATTAGCTGCCTAATCAGTAGCTATTCTACTCTGAGACTCGACAATCTCCAATACCCCCCCCCCACTCCCTAATACACTCCTACCCATCTCTAATATACGTGCATTTACAGAGATGCAATTACATTTTTGGGGCGTTTTTTAGAATAATAATTTATTTTAAGTAGCATATTTCACCTCAATACTAAGCCCATCATCATCAATCCATTTGTCTCCAGGAATGGGTCGAAAAATAGATTTTAGTTCAACAAAGTAATGAAGTGATTGTCCTTCAGGAGCCCCTTGTGGACGTTCATCATCCCCAAAAGCACCTTCTGGTATAATTACTCTACGCTGTTCACCAACACACATATCGGTCATTGCAGAATCCATAGCACGCATTGCCTGGCCTTGGCCAAGAGAGAATTTATAGCTAAAAACAAAATGAAAAAGAGGGATTTTCAAAGAGTTTAGTAAACGTTGGGGGAACTTTTATCAACAAAATTCTTCATAGACGTGTTTAAATGTGTTAAATATCTTCACTGTAAATTTCATAATTTTTGGTTACATGTTTTACAAGTATGGGCAAAGAACTAATCAAAGTAGGCTTTCTAAAAAAATTCTAACTTCTCATCCAAGTAAAACGAAAAAACGCCAAAACTTCTATATTATTAGAGATCTATTAGAGATCGTACTGATGTGAAGAGATCCCAATCAAAAATCTCGGTTATCGAGATTGAGATTTTTCCGAGATACATATCTCGATTCTCGTATAACCGACCCTCACAGTCTAATTCCTATATTATTTTTTGTTAGTTGGGGTAATTGAACAAAACTTTAATAAAACTGGATAACCTAACCAAACGTCACCTAAAACTATTTTTGAATAAAAACAACTAACGGTTTCTGACCAAAATTAGTTCCAATAACATTCCCACTTTTGTCAGTTAATTTAAAAAATTGTTCCAATTCATCCCCCGCTTTGCTTCGAATTTTGCATTTCGAATCTTTAAAAGAAAATTTTTTCTTTAATTTTCCACTCTTTTCTAACCGGGTATTTTCTTAATAATTTCAACTTCAACTCCATCTTCGTCTGTCCAACTTCGTCGATCCTCACAATTTATGGAAGAAAATAGTGTTATTAATATAAAAATAAAGACATTTCCATTGTTAAAATTAAAATTCATAAGAAAATAATTTTTTGTCTAAAATTGAAATAATTTAAAATCATTCTCTATTTTTTAACAAAATTTGAAAATTATAAGAATAAAACAAAGCTAACAAAAAAACCAAACGTCACCTAGTAATAGTTTAGTTAAATTATTCGTTTGAATATTAACTCTTTCTACTCCTGATAAACCCAAACAGAGTAACCGTAGTTTAAGTTATCTATTTCTATTCGCAGATCCTCTTAATAATTGCTAGGGCCGTTTCAAAAAAATTTATATTGTGAAAATACAAATTTTTATACTTAATAAAAATATATTTAATTGGTTAAAAATTAAATTAAGGCACCTTACAGAGGTGTAGTTGTATTGTAAAAAGCTAAGCTTAAGCGTGTTTTAGAGGTAGGTTTTAGAGGAAACTTTGGAGAATAAGAGATCAGCTTAATATCTCTTGTTTAAAAATTTTGAACAACTCCTGATATTTTATAAAAATAAGAATATTTATTTGAAAGGATAAATTAAAATTAATAATTTAAAAGGAATGATCGCATTTATTAAGGAGAAAATCAATGAAAAGCAACTTCTCTCCGAATGAAAATTTTTTTCTTCTTAAAAGTTGCACAGCTATGTTCACACAAATTACTTAAAACGTTAAAATCACGTTTTAAAAAGGCGCAGGTTTCCTTCCCCCTCCTTTTATGGTTTTCCACGTCAGCTTTTCTCCTATTTTAACACACACCTAATGAAATAAGATTAAATTTAAAATTAAAATTAAATTTTTACAAAAGAAAATAAAATTTGAATTTTAATTAAAATAATTACCTAATTTAGGGGTATATTTTAAAAAAAGACGGTAATAGAAACTGTCAAAAATAATATCTGGGGAAGGTGGAATGATGAACAGTCAAAACTAACTAATAATTGGTGACCGAATTTAGTTGAGGTATGAAGAAAGCGAATTTACTTTACTTATTAAATCTTTATTTATTAAAATTTTCTCGGATTTTTTTTTAATTTTGTTTTTCTAACTTTTTATATTTTTAATTCAAAATAACTTTATTTATAATTAATTACATAAATTTTATTTTAATTTAAAATAAAAAATTTAACAAGGTTACTGTAATTATATATTTAATTATGGCAATGAAACGTCCTTTAAATTTTCTCGCAAAGCCTTTTTATCGCGACGAAATTTTTTCTTACAATTAAATTTTTTTTATTTTTTTCCGATTTTTTAGCTTGTTTTTTAATAATTATAATTTTTTAGTCAATTCATTTATTTTCAAATAAAGCCTCTTTATTTCAAAAATGGGATTTGGAGGTGGACGTCGAGGAGGAGGAGGCAGAGGTGGCGGTGGTAGAGGAGGGGGAGGAAGAGGTGGAGGACAACAATTTGATCAGGGACCGCCAAATGAAGTTATAGGTTATTTTTAATTTTTGTTTTGTTTATTTTTTAAAAAGTCCGCAAGTTTTATCCGCAAACCAGACTTTATTTTTCTGGAAGAAATACGCGAGGTTTCCACCAGAATAATAGAGCTTTACTACAATTTGTGGATATAGTATGAGTTCCTTTTAGTATGAAGTTCCTTTTTTGATTAAGTAAGAACATGTAGTTTGACTTGAGGATAAAAATTACTGATTTTTTGAAGAAAAAGAGGTAATATTGAACCGGACATACCCTCTTTTTCCTCCTATTTTTCCTCCTATATTTTTGCAAAATGGTCAGACTTTTTCCTTTCTTCCATCAAAATTGCCCTTTTAATTTTTGTCTACAATCAAACAAAAATGATTATTTAATTTTGTACAAGTGCAAGTACAGGCCAAAAACAAGAGAGGAAAAATATAAGGGAAAAATTATGAAGGAAAAAAGAGGTCTGTCCGGTTCAGTATTACCGAAAAAGAGAATGAAAAGTTTTTTTTGAATTTTTGTATACGAAAGCTCCCCTTTTAAATTTTTGAAAAAAGTCCAATTGGTGAAGAGATTCTTCTTGTTTTTTAGAACTTGGATTTTTTACTCACAATTGTGAAAACGACATTGTCTGTCACACAACATGCGGAAAAATTCCATATTTTAATGCTCAAGTTTATTTTCAAAATAAAGAATGTATTGGCAAAATTGATGAAATATTTGGTGGGCCTAAAGACAACGTTTAATTTTTTCTTAATTTTTAAATAAAAAATTTTTTTAAGGGATTTTCTGTTAAATTAAGTGAAGGACTTAAAGCTTCTTCCTTCAAACCGGAACAGAAAATTTATATTGATCCATACAAACTTTTGCCTCTTGAACGATTTCTTGATGGAGGACAGCAACAGAGAGGCGGGAGGGGTGGACGAGGAGGAAAAGGAGGACAGCAACGTGGAGGTGGGGGAGGACGAGGAGGTGGAGGTTTGGAAGTTTTTAATTAAGTTTTAGGAATGTTGGTTTGGTTCTGGGTTCAATATTGAGATTAAGAGCTTTAAAAATCTCTGTTCTCTAATATATTGCCATTTTCTGGTTGAGAAAAATAATAATTGTCCTTTTTGGAATTTTTTCCCAATTTTTTAGGATTTTTTTTATTTTTGCTTTAAAATTTTTTAAATATTTTAAAATAAGTTTTTTGTTATTTCCCAAGTCTAACTAAATTTACCTTCCCTATTTTCTTCTCAAAATTTAACAATTTTATAATTCAGGTCGTGGAGGAGGCGGTGGTGGTTCTTGGAAAGGAGGAGGAGGTTTGAAAAACATTTTTTTATTTTGGTAGCTAAATTATTTTTAAACAAATTAATTTTTTCTGATCTTTAACGATAAAATATTTTTTAGTAAAAAAGAATTTAAAAAAATTTTTTAATTTATTTTTTAAGGTGGAGGAAATTTTAGAGGCAATAGAGGTGGTGGTGGGGGAAGAGGTGGTGGTGGTCAAGGTGGAGGACGTGGAAATGATAATAGAGGCCGTGGAGGTGGTGGAGGAGGTTTTAGAGGTGGAAGAGATTTTTCTGGACCTCGAGGTGGCGGCGGTGGGGGATTTGGAGGAAATCGTGGAAGAGGAGGTCCTTCAAAAGATTTTGGACAAAAACGACCATTCGGTGGTGGCGGAGGAGGAGGCGGTGGAATGGGAAAACGAAAAAAGTTTGATGAATAAATTAATTTAATTTTCTTTTTGTTATTTTTTTATTATTTTTAAAAAAAAGTTTTTGTTTGAAATTTTGTGTTTTTTCGATTTTCTTTGAAGGGGAAGGAGGTGTTTTTAGTTAATTTTAAAGGATTTCTTACTTTTGGATACCCTAAAAATTAATAATTAAGGTATATATCGGTTAGTTACTGGATGGGATAGCCGTCTAGGTATTAATTCCTTTTTTAATATTAGGGTTTTCTTCGAACGCTCATGTCAGTATCGGGCATGTCGGGGTATTTTTAAATAGCTTTTTGTCTTTCCCACGTCTAACCAACAAGGAGAGTTTGCGAGGTGTCCGCCTAAAAACGGTCGAGACCGGGCTCATTCGATAGAGAATGTGCCCTTCTAGCAAGGATTTTGAGTCGTTTTTGCCCTTTTTTTGATCAGGCCAAGCAAACTCTCCTTGTAAATTTAATCCTCCGAGTATAGTTAAATTCGTCTGTAGTACTTTTAAAATCGGATCAAATTCTATTTTAGATCAAAAATTGGAATAAAAAATTTTTTAATTAAAAATTAACTTTTCTTTCTTTCTTCAAAAAATTCCATTCTACCGGATTTCCTAAAAATAGTAGGAAATAAATTCTCTCAAATATAAAAAACTCTTTTAAGATTAAACATTGATTGAAAATTCTTTTATAAAATTGGAAAGATTAATTTTTTATATTTTATAAAAGTGCATTTCTTTTTTTATTTTAATCTGATATTGAAAAGAAAAAAAAATTTATTAATATATTTATGGAAATTAAAATAATTTTTTGTTCAATTTTTCTCTTCCTCTCAAAACACCGTAAACTTAAAATACCGCCACGGCCAAAAATGGGTCAAAAGTAGTGACCGGGCCGGATTTTTCCGGAGTCTTCTAATTTTTATGTCCTCCCTTTTGATTGATAAAAAAGCTTCTACAAAAATATAATTTTCTACCAAAAAATTTTGTTGAAAAGAATTAATCTCTTGTCTTCTTCCAAATTTTTTTCTCTGCTAATTTTTAAAGAACCAAAAAATTTAAAAAATTCTCCAGACAAAATCAAAAAAAAATTCGGAAAATCCGCCTCAAAAAGTCTTTAGAAAATGTCAATTGTACATGTACGTCTTCACAAGAAAAAAGAAAAGCAAAAAGAAGTCAATAATTTTTATTTGACAAGATGGGTGGTGGCTGTCACTAATATTCAAGTTAATAAAAAGAAAGAGAAAACCTTCTAGCCATTTGTGTTAGAGAAAAAGAAAATGAAAAAAGATTAAATAAAAAATTAAATGAAAATGTGAGTGTAATACGAGAATAATCGTGCCTGTGGTCTCTGGTCTCTCTCACTCTCTTACCAAAAAACTAGCACATGATTTAGCGGAATCTGAAGAGGATAGATAGCAGAAAAAAAAAGAAAGGGGGACCATCATTCTTAAACTGAGTCTACACATTTTGCCAAACCATATTTTGCCAATAAGGCTAAAATTACACATTTTGCCAATAGCTTATTGGCAAAACGTGGATTTTTCGCTTTGTTGGCAAAATATGGCATTGGCAAAATGTGTAGGAGTCTTCTTAAACTCATTCTTTTTTTTTGGTATGTCGGCGGCAATTCCTTTATTTTATTTTCTCTTTCCGTCACTTTCAACGCTTCTTTTTTTGGTCTATAGTCTCTCCGTTCAATTTTCTTTTCTTTTTTTTGTCCCCAATTTTTTTCTTTCAAAGCAGTCCAAAAATACTTACTGCTACTAACTACCACACACTCTAAGGCCATTATGTGATAAAAGAAAAGAAGGCCAAAAGCGTGTTTGTGTATATATTTTTGAGTTTATAGAAACGAGAGTGTCGGAAATTGTCGCACTAATCAATAATTGCGTGTGAGTGCCACTTACATTTTCTACTAAAAA